TCTATGGGACATGACTTTTTCTCAAAACTTGATTCTACATTCCCGTCTTTCGCGAGCAATCTCTACGTCGTTTTAGCTTCATTTACGCTGAACTTCGAGTATGTTGTAGCTGAGACAAAAAGCTATCTCAAATGTACCCTTCATTTTGCCTCAATTTTTTGTTGGATCAGCCCACCTATACTTGTTCCAAACAAGTATTACAAATCTAGTTTATTTTTCTTATTTTGACCCACTTTTTTGTTAGCAAGATAACTTTGAAATGGTTCAATCAAATGCTTTGATATTTGGCACACATATGTATGTATAGGCATATGGACAAAACACGGTAAGGTTTTCAACCTTGACCTTGACTGATGACGTCATCTAGGCGCCATTTTGTGAAATTTTCTGAAAATCAACTCATGATCATATCTTCATAACCAAAATTCATTTCTCATTCATATTTATCATGATCAAGGTCAATATCAGTCCGGTCAATTTCCGGTCAAAAAATACGCGCGTGCGCGTACGTCCGCGCGTCAGTGCGCGCGCAAAAATTTTAAATGCTCAAAATCGTCTCAAATTTATTTTGCATACGTTTCAGGTCATTTTAAGCATTTTATAAAAAATCGCGCACACGAGCATGCGCGCGCGTTTTCGCGCGTAACACCATTACACAACATAGAATCGCCATTTTTTTTCTTTCATGATATTTCTCATATTTTTTCGAGGAATTTGATACCCTGTTTATCTCTTTATGACCATTAATAAGATGATGAGCGTCAATTCAAGATAAATGTCCGTGCGCGCGAGCTCTTTTATTACATAGCATATATGGGCAAAAACATGCCTATACAAAATCCATTATAGCTCTTTGGAATGAACCGTGACCTTCAATGTTTTTTCATTTTTAAATAGAGTATGAGTCGGAAATATGATTCCATGTCTCATTTGGCCATTAAGTGTATCGTGACATCATCATAATCGCCTTGGAACTCAAAATACGAATTTGCATATGACGTCAGCATATGTATGTAACATTGATTGTATCTCTGTAAATATGAATCGATTTTCTTCAAAATTTCGATATGATGTAGCTGAGACAATTTTCTACAAGCTCAGTCAACACCATTTTTTAATTTTGATCACGTCATCAGAGTGAAAATTACAAAAAAGGGCACATATCAGAAATTTCTTACGTTGCGTGTTATGCCTATGGAAGGTGAATTTCGTTTACATCATTACATCAATGACATTGTTTTTTAGCAGTATCTCGCTTATTTTTGCTCTATTTTGTCTCAAATTTTAGTTGACCAGCCCACCTATACTTGTTCCAAACAAGTATTATGTCTAGTTTTTTTTTTTTTTTTATACATAACATGAAATAATAGTGTAAAAAATGATCATCAAGGTAAATGGATCAAGGGATTTAAAAAGAAAGGATAAATACTTATCCTTAAACAATAACAAAGCAAATAGGCACATAAATTAAATAAATTACAAATTTAAATTTAAATGAAGTAAAAAACTACAAGACTCTTACTAATTCTTAAATACGTACAATTTTACTCATAGGCACACAAGCACATACATGCGCGAGCGCATACATGTACATGCACACTCGAAAATCGCTAACTGGTCTTCTTTACTTGAATGTATTGCAAAATAAAAGTGACTTATATCTCCTGATTGTTAGAGGACGTTGTAACGGTGGTACACGCCCACACTGTTGGTCATCATTTCAAATTAAGATTATTTTCAATTAGATTTTGGTGGCATTAGTATTATTTTTGAGATAATGTATAGCGTATAGCTAGGAGTGTTGGCACTAAATCTTGGCACTTCTGATAGATTGTGAAAGGTTATTCCACAGCAGTTTAGGTTCAGAGAGTCCAAAGTTAGGTCCCAGTTGTGCGACTGAGAGTTGAAACAAACTTTATTTGAACTAGTTCAGAATCATTGGGGAAAAATAATGGGGAAAGGAGTTTGACATTTGGGGAACCATGAATCAGTGGATTAAACCATGGACCTACTAAGAATGGACTTTCGACAAAGCAGTCCCTTTGATCCTATGATTTCCACTGCTACACTGTACATTGTAGGTTTGAATTTCGCGCTGATGCAAAAACCCAGCGTGTTGTCCCACCACAATCTGACAGCTGGATGCGATCGATTGCGCAATCTTGCATAATCGCAACAGCAGGCTCACGGCTTTGGGTTGTTCGCTGCTCCTTCAAATCGTTTAGAACCTACCGGTAGTCTTAATTCAATTAATAATAATAATATTTAAGATTTATATAGCGCTGGTATACAAGTACAGTTTCTAAGCGCTTTACAAAACAAGTGAAATGAAAAGTACGGTTAAACTAAATATGTGATAAGGATCAACAAGAAACATGAAATAAACAATGCGCTTAATTTGGACGAATTACTTAACTAACAATGTATAACAATAACATGATAATGAAAAATGAAAATGTAAATACAATAATTAAGTATCATTAATGAAACTGCAATAATTATGTACATTAGACAATAAATAGATTACAAGAAGATAGGACATGTGGTTATAAATACGGTATGATGATGGACAATTACTTCGTGTTGAATAGATAGGTCTTAAGTCTACGTTTAAAAGTGTCAAGAGTTGGGGATTCACGGACAGAGACGGGGAGATTATTCCATTCAATTCATTAATTTAATTTCCATTAAAATTCAAAGTAAACAGTACATAACAAATGAACAGCAAAATCGGAAAGACCCCAAGATAAGCAAAGCTTGTGAGAATGGGGCCCTGTACAAAAATAAACAAACAAGCAAATTAAAATAACATGCACACGGACACACCAACACACACCGCAGGCAGAACATTGTACAGAAAAATCTACTCAGTGCACATCATGCGTTTAAACAATAACTGTTTACATGAATATTTGAATTTTGTTAGGGTTGAATTACTTTTGGATTAGATGATTAGATTTTAGGGTCATGAGGTAAAAGATAAAAGGGTCATACATGTGAAAAATATCTTGTAATCACGGTGACGATATTTTGTGAACCTGGAATGGAATACAATTTCTATCTAGTTTATCCTGATTCCTAGATTCTCAAATAACCCTGTACACATATCTAGTACATCAAGTTAAAATCTGAGGGAAGAAAAAATAGCAGTCTCTCGGATTAACAAGACCAAACTATAAATTGAAAAGAACATGCACCCGCCAATGTCTACGGGACTACATGTACATGTGCTAGTTTGAGCAGACAAAGGCACGGCAATAGTGGTCATGATGCAAAGAAATCACGCATAATTACCACAGATTTTCTGAGCACCAAAGAAAAAAAAGCAATTCTTCCAATGCCTATAAAAAAACGCATGCAAACACAACAATAAACGAACAGTTGTATTTGGCAAACGAAAGATTTGTGATCATCACAATGTCGTTGGTTTCACACAAAAATCAACGGGAATAGGAGAACAAAACAATTTTGAAACTATTTTGTAAGCTCTTGTGGTGACTTCCCTTGCTTAAACGATGAGTATATGCTACACACCAACCAAAAATTGTAAGAAATCAAAAAAATCACTGATTTCAATAGCATTTTTTTACAGATTAGCGTACATGAACCGGACGTAAACTTATATTTACATCCGGGGCACCACTGACGTAGTATTTAACTGCGCATGGGCAAAAGGCTCTCCTGTCACTATTTGATTCATTCATTAAATGAGAAGTGCAAACTGTGGAAAGCATTGATCAGTGTAAAGCGACTCAGCTGATAGAGGGCGTCAAAATCCTTGTGGATCTAATAGGACCAAAGGTCCCTTATCAGAGCATATCAAAACATGCCTGCAGCGTTGCAGGCACGTTGCAGGCACGTTGAAAAAGTTCAACCGATCTTGGAAAAAAATTGCGCCCACGTGCCCCCCCCCCCCCCCCCTCCCCTGTGGCTACGTGCCTTCAACGTTGTGGTCAGACTTAAAGGTGAAATTCAAAGAAGATCAAATATGTCAACTAAAGTATCACTAGAAACCGGTAAGCTAACAGATGGCCATCGTACAAGTTTTAGGTCAACTACATATCGGGTGATTTATAAAAATACCAATACAACCACCTCCATAGCTGCTGGGATGTACGAGAGATTCGCCAGAAAAATAATGATGTTTTAATGACGTCACTAATATGGACCAACACTGCCCAAGCAGACGACATCCCATAGAGAATGAACATAATTGCAAAGCTATTATTTCTCAAATTATAATGAGTTTAGTGTATATAAATGTATAGGCATGTCAAACCATTCAAAAGGGGATATGACCCGATTCTGATAACTAAAATCTTTTGCTTGTAAATACTCAGGATAGGGGTTAATTAACAATCAAAGAAACCAGACTTTCAAATTGAAAAACCCCTGAAAGCTAGATTCCAGAATTATTGATGATTTCTAAGAAAAATCATTGTCATGTTCTAAATCTTTGTCAAAAATTATTCTACATGGCTTTTTTCTTCTTCATTTTCTAGCCCGTTTTGGTCAGAGTGGCCCTTTAAAGAGAAGGTTGAGTTCTGGGAAGAGGTGAAAAATAATTTGTGAGCGTTATCATTCTTATATTATGCAAGTGAGGAAGAACATCAGATAAGACATGTTCCCTGAAAAGCATGGCTCTTCAAATGCCTTCATATTCTAAATATGTCATGTAACATCGTAAAACTCCAGGGTAGGATTTTTACGCCACGTGTTCATGTAGTCCCATATACATCTTTCTGTGTACAGTGTTAGAACTTTACCAAGACTTGGCCAAATTTCTTATCATTTTGATGATTCCAGAACCTTGCAATACACACAAATTCTTATATGCTAGATGATCAACCTTTTCTGGTCGATTCCACACCGTTTCCTTCACCATGCAATCGCATGACCAGAACTCAACTTCATCTTTAAATTAAACATATCCATTTAGAGCTGGAATAATACACTCATGAATATACCGGCCAGTGATCTTGATTCCCTTCTCGTTGCAGTCGAAGGTGGGGCCCCAACACTGATGCAGGACATAAGACCTATATCCCTGCCGGAGCCCTTTCAACCATCATCAGCACCATACCTCTCCCGCCCAAGAAAACGAACCCAATGTTCCCAAACTCCTGCAGGGCATGAGACCAATACGCCTGGAGCCAGTGAACCATCATCAGCACCCTGCCCCTCCCGCCCCAAGATACGAGCCGTCGCCAATCCCCCTCAACAACCAGACACAGTACCCATGCGAATACCCCAGCAAACCAGCGATGAGATTACGGAGATCAAGCTAAGGGACGTTTCCATCAAGCTTGGTGGCGAGTGGAGGACGGTTGGAACTTATTTAGGCTTTGGCAACTCTCAGATTGAGGTTATGCAGGAAGAATATCGAGTCGTTAAGGTACTTCAACTTTTTCATGAAGTTTTGGAGTAGGTTACTGAAAATATTTTGACTGTATTGTTAACTTTCATGTGTACTTTCATATTAACTCTCAAAGAACAAAACAAAAAAAGGTACCTCTACTTGTTGTAAAACGTTTGGTTATCAAGACAATACATTTATAATATCTTACATTGAAATACACATTACTCTATTTACATTGTAAATTTCAGAGTAAAACCCCCGATTTTTGAGGCTTTTGAGCTTAACAAAAAAATCAAATGCCAAGTGACAAAAAAGAATATTATAGTAAAATTATACATTTTCGTAAATGGAGTTTTGACATGTAATACCTTTCAGTTGAATTGGCTTTATGTATCCCTGTAATGTGCTGCATTTCATTTCTATTTTCTTTATTTATCTTTTTATTCTGTTTTTTTTTCCTCATTCTATCTTTATTTCTACTGTTATTCTAGTTGAGTTTGTAATCAATAAAAAATGGAAGGGATACAAAATATATGAAAATATGCACTGAACATAGAAAACTGCAAATTAATATTCTTGAAAGTATTTTCAAAGGGCATTTGTATTTGCAAGGGAGAATCTCGAACATACCCATTTCTCATTTTCTGGTTTCTGGAGTATGATTTTACAGTTTCATGTACTTGTAGCAAAGAACAACCCCTGGAAGGCTTTTTATGCCTCCGCTACAAAGTATGCGGAGGCATAATATGTTTTCTGGTTGTCCGTCCGTCCGTACATCCGTCTGTACATACGTCCCGTTCTCGTGATCGCATTATCTCAAGAACCAATTGATGTATTCCCTCCAAACTTGGATCATGTATGTATCTTACAGAGCCAATGAACTGATTAGATTTTGGGTTCACAAGGTTGAAGGTCAAAGGTCACAGGTCTCATAATGTATGCAAAAATAGCTCACATATAGCTCCGTTTAGTCTCATTTCACGACGCCCCCTACCGTCAGAGCATGGTCAGCGTCAGCAGCCTAACATGTTAGCCTATGGACGTTTTTTAAAAAAATCGTTAAAAATTCATTTTTTGTTTAAACGAAAAGCACATCCACCCCGACGTACGTTATCACTAGCTCTTTCATTTGAGCCCTCATGTCCAGCGCTCAAAATACACGGGGGCGGTGGGCGATTCGCCCCCGTGAGCTCCATAATCGCCCCCGTCAGGTTGCTCACGGGGGCGATTGCAAAATTAAAAATCGCCCCCGTGGAATTATAAAATTAAGATTATCTTTTCTGATATAACTTTAACACAATATTGAGTATTAATTTTCAAACCTTAAACCAATGAAATGGAACTTAGATGGCGCTTTCTCTACCATCTCTACGAGTATTTCCGATACAAACAACGGAAGCTCGCGGTGCGGCCGTCAGCACAGTGGCTATACTGCGCTGGTAGTACCGGTGTGCACGCTGACGCCCAGTATCTGCTGGAGCTGAAGATCGACAATCGCCCAAGGACTGAAACATGGAGAAGTTTTTCGTTGTGAAAGTTTGAATCCTCTGAAATCTGGTGATTCTTAAAGACCAGCAAATAATGTAACCCGACCAGTAAATCAATATTGAGAAGAAGAAAAAGGCATAAGATGTTGCAGGGGCGGATCTAGGCGGTTTAGGAGGTTTAATCCCCCCCCCCCCCTCCCCCTTGGGCTGCCAAGGAAAAATGTGATGCGCACATAAAAATGCTATCATGTGTCCAGACCTACACAGTATTAGTAGATGTCAGTAGATGCCAGGAAAACATCACTAACGGGGGTTCAAAATAGCAACAACAAAAATCGCATCGCCGCTACGCGGCTCGTTGACGATGCTCTACATCGTATTTGGGGTACCCCACCACCTTAGCAAAAAGCTTGATCCGCCCCTATGTTTTGGAAGGATATAGTAAAGACTAAAAGTAAAGAAAGAATGTAAATAAGGTTGCTCCGAATAATGAGGAGGAAATTATGTGCAGAACGGGAAGAAATGGAGAAAATGTCCTCATGGGGATAAAAGTCAATAACAGCTATGTAACAAGTAAATTTCTAAGAGGAAAAATACCGACATAAATAAATGGTAATGATAAAATACCAAGGAGTTTCATGGGTACCAATTCAATGGAAATTTGTATTAAAATAAGAGCCCCCGTCAGCACTAAAAGCGCCCCCGTGAGAAGGCTCACGGGGGCTCTTTTTTTTTTGGAAGAGCCCCCGTGGGCAAAAAATTAATTTGAGCCCTGCTCATGTCTCATTGACTGAAAGTTCACCCACCGTAATTTTTCAAAATAGGTTGCAAGCTCGTCATTGCCTATAATACACATGTGAAACAAGTCTAACTTTGGACTCAGTTTACCAAGCGATTTGAAGATTATAGGTCGAGCACACGAAACATAAAACGCATGAATTATCATAGATCACTTCTGCCTATTTCATTATGTCCATTTCATCCAACCCCCCCACCGTAATTTTTCCATTTAGTAAAAGCAAACATTTTGCCGAGTTTAGCAAAAACATGAATATTCATGAACGGTCAGACAATACAGCCTTTTAGTACGTAACGTATAGTGAATGGGAATGGGCGATGATCCGTTCAGGAGGTAGAGGTCAGTGGTTTGTGCTGGCAATGTTCACGCGAGCGAAAATGAGACAATCGGAGCAATATGTGATCGCGTTATCTCAAGTAACGGTCAATAGATTCCTGCCAAACTTGGTTCATGTACGGTATGTATTTTACAGAGCCAATGAACTGATTAGATTTTGGGCTCACAAGGTTGAAGGTCAAAGGTCACAGGGCTCATTATGTATGCAAAAATAGCTTGTGATCGCATTATCTCAAGAACCGGTTGATGGATTCTTACCAAACTCAGATCATGTATGTATCTTGCAGAGCCAATGAACTGATTAGATTTTGGAGTCACTAGGTCAAAGGCCAGAGGGCTCATTATGTACATGTATGCACATATAGCTTGTGATCGCTTTATCATAAGAACCAATAGACAGATTACTATCAAACTCAGACATGTATATGTATCTTGCAGAGCCAATGAACTGATTAGATTTTAGGGTCATAAGGTCATGGGGCTCATTATGTATGCCTATAAATAGCTTGTGAGTGCATTATCATTAAAACCGACAGTTGGATTACAATCAAACTTGAATATTAAAAATTGCTTTATGGCGGAGGCATCATTTTCGACTGCGCGCAGTCAAAGGCCTATCTGCTGACATTGTACATAGACAAAAGTCTATTTTTAAAATGTTCATTTTTTTGTTGTTTCTCTACTGCAGGAATGTATCTTCCAGATGTTACTACAATGGCGAAAAACCAATGGTGTCAAGGCTACAAAGGAAAAATTTAAGAAGGCACTGAGGCGATCGCAGCGTGAAGATTTGGCAGATTTCATAGACGAAGCGGATGATTTAATCCTAGCTAACTGACAAAAACTTTGATGATATGACAGACTGATGAAGCAATTCCAGAGTCATGTAAAAGTGCTCCTCTCCCCCCCCCCCCCCCCCCCCCCTCTCATTTTTTTGTGCTTTGGCGGCACTTATGTCCTTGGGCAGGACGTTAAATGGCAACCTGGCAAAACTACTTGGCAATAAATTAATGCAATAAAGCTTTTTATACTTTTTATACTTTTTATAGATTGAGTCAACACGTGTCCTTTTTGTGCTCGTCACAACATCACAGAGAAGTAAAGGTACTATGTCCCATTTGCAGGCCAAAAATATGGAAAGGTTAAATTCCAAAAGCATTTGAAAGAAAATATTAATTGAGAACTTACCTAAAAAAAAGATTATTAGTTGTCAAATCGAAGTGCTACCAAGACAGTAAGTACTGAATGGTTGTACGTTTTGTGCTGCGCAAAGATTCAATCAGTTTAATTTTGTCCATTACAAGAAGTGGGTTATTGATGTAGACAAATGCTCATGTACCCTTTTCAGCTCATCTTATGTATGTTTATTACCAAAGAAGAAAAAAAGTCAGTCACTCACTCAATAGTGTCCGACAGTGAAGTCTAGCAAGTAAACGGGTTTCCTTGCATAATTTGAATATTAGGACACTGCTAACGTTTAAATTTCACAGATAGGACATACATGACATATTCATAATTCCTGCAAAGTTCAGCAGAATTGATGTTGGCTGCAAAAGGGACATAGTATCTTTAACAGGTGTATTAAATAATTAATTATTACTTTAATAAACAGGAGTGTCACAATGTGATTGGAATTTCTTTCATTCTAAACTCTCCTGACCCTGTCGAGTTGTATAGGCAGAGAATCATAGACAGGGGCTAGCTGAATGGATGTTGTTTGGCGGCAATTTAGGCAGTAACTAGGCCTAGGTCAACTAACTGGGGTTCTCTAGTAGAGCAGGTGTCTGTCTTTGTCTGTGTGTGTGGAAAGGATGAGGAGAATGTTAATAGGAAAGTTTTGTATAGAGGATTAAGTAAAAGAAATTTTGACGGACAGTTTTGGCATTAGAGGAATATGAAGAATGTTAAGGAGGTTACTATTTAGAGAGCCAAAGTGGGTTGGAAATTTAGGGCAGTTTATCTCGAGAGGATCAGACCTTTCTTAAACTTGGTCTGATCTTGGAGTGAATGAGGGGTGTTGGCCGCGACGGTGAATGTTACAGCCACAGGCTACATGCATGCGGCTGCTGGCATAGCAGACTTTCCTTATGTTATGGGACCAGGCAAGGACCAGGCAGCACGTACAGGCCGTACATGGTAGAAACCTCATCAGCCCTCGCCTCATCTTTACTCATTGTTTGGACATCTGAACTGTAAGTTACAGAAATAAATGCGTTGCCTTATTTGTAATAATCTGGAAGGAAGATTATTTCATATATTTCATAAAGAGAAAGCTATTTTCTTTGTACTATGGGAAAATGGATTTTTGTTTTATCTTGCTGGTTGAATAAGGAAGAGTTAAAGATAAGCTTGAGTTCTGGTAATGCGATTGCATTGTGAAAGAAAAGGTGTGGAATGGATCAGAAAAGTTGATCATATAGCATGTAAGTAATGGTGTGTAATGCAAGGTTCTGGAGTCATCAAAATCATCATAAATTTGGCAGAGTCTTGGTAAAGTAACAATCACACATAAAGATGTATATGGGACAACACACATGGTGTCGGGGCTAGTACTACCCTGATTTCCTTATCTTTCTATGCTCATTATACTCAGCCAGTAATATGCCAGTATACATTTTCTTCCAAATTTGTTTGGCACTTGACATTTATTTGTAATCTTGAACATTCAGTGTAAGTTTTGTTAGATTCTGTGAGAATTCATTGTCTGTTTTTTTACCAGAACTCAAGTTTATCTTTAACCTTGATTAGTTTTCTTACAATTGCATTGTACTGAAAAGTTATATATATAACTACATGTAAAGACATATGTGTGATTTTATATTTTCCAGGTGAAAGATACCATACACAGTCGTTTATAAATGTCGCCTATTTAATTGGTTTATGTCAGTGAAGTTAAGCTCTAGAGATTGTAAATGATTGTTGTAAATTGTTAGGATTTATATCGTTATAGCTATCATGTTTATTTTGGTAGATGGTTGACTTTTTTGTTTCGATTTAATTCTTTTAGGGACGAGCTGGGCTCGTAGCCATAACCCTATGCAAACATCAATGGACATGTGCTTGTAGTCGACACGCTCACTCAGGCAAAGTACTCGTATCAAGTCGTCAAGTCAAAGCCGTTGCGGTCGTTTACCGGTCAGGTTGTACAGTCTTGGCAGTTCAGGCACCGCAGCACCGGGTTACTGCGTACACCGGAGTACTTCGTTTCACCTACTCAGAAACAAGAAGAGGTTGTATTTACGAACTCTTAATCGGAACTCTCTAACCCAACAGTTTACTTGTATATACAAAGACCAGGCTAGAGTCGGTGGATTATTGCTTGTATGTAATGCCCCGAAGGATGACTTGGTCATCAGGTCATCGCTGGTAATATCTATTTTCGCTAGTAATATCCGCTGAATAAGCGAGGGGGGGGTGAGAGTAAGAGGACATTTTTTTTTTTTTGTCCCAAAATTTGAAAATTTGACCGTTCGACATTACGTTTCGTTGGGGGGGGGGGGGGGGGTAATGTTATCTTTTTTAGGTCGTCCATTTGGACATAATATCTTTAACAGGTGTATTAAATAATTAATTATTACTTTAATAAACAGGAGCTCTTCATGCATTTTGCTTCAGAAATGGGAATTATATTGGGGCAAAAATAGGCAATTGCTCAAAATTATCATGGTATTTAATAGAGAGCTTTCAATAACATGTGCACTTCCATGCTTGTTTTCCTTTTTATTAAATTCACACTTGGAGAGTGAACAGGGACTTAAGTACAGGTGAAATTTATCGCATTAAATATAATTAACGAATAACGACTAAATTATTCATACCTTACCAAGATTTGCAAATGTTTAAGTACGTGAAAAAATTAGGGCTTACGTCTAGAAGTATTCAACAATGGCCCTTCACTCAACCAGTCTACCTTCAATTTTGAATTATGAAAAACACATCAATTTACAAGAGGTGTGAATTATGTTTATTAATAAGGAAATAATAAACAGTGATTTATTTATTTTTATTATTCAAACTTTTTGAAATACCTCAAGTACTTAAATTATCCCTTTTTAATTCAAGTCACTACGCAATATTCAATCCCACAGTTAAAAAATGATACTGATTTCTTTTCTCAATAATACAAATTTCATTTTTTTACATTTCGGTTTTTAATCTTTTAAACTACAGTCAGACCTGTCTTGGTGGCTACCTCTCTTTAAAGGCCACTCGTCTATAGTGGCCACTCGTCTATGTTTCCTTTGGATGGCTTTGATAGACAAGTATGACTGCAGTTTTAAATTGTGAAATAAGAAGAAAGAAAAGAATCTTTAAATTACAGCTCACTACAGGTATCAAGTTCAACTTTTGGTCATTCAGTAAAAAAAAATTAAAACAAAAATTTCTTTTTTTTTAAATGTCCAAGCACAGTATTACAAGAACACTCTATTCCTTGGTAGACAATGTCCTCTGCCAAAGGCTATAACAGGCTAGTCCCAATCAAAGTCCGATTTGGATTCCGTGCGCTCCCAATTATGTGCGAATCTACTCGTCAGGTCGTGTTTAACTCTTATCCTGCCATGATGAATACAGCCCAGAGCCACAGGGCTAATCCCCATTGTGCCAAGCCACAAATCCCCTCAGTGCCAAGTTTATTTTTAGATAATCTGATGGTGCGATCAATAGCGCGTGGGAAGCCCTCGGCATAGTACAATGGGCATGAACAATAACTGCTATTACGAATGCGAGCAAACATGCATGAAGTAGTGAAGCGGTAGCTTGCTTGCGTGAATTAAGTAGCCAATCGCGTGTACAAAGCACTATAACGGTAGCATGCATGCAGCCTTATGGCAGGATATGAGTTAATACTTTTTACTGAAAGTGCATTCAAACTGCAATTTCTTTTTGTAGAAGTAATATCCCAAGCTCATATTTTGAATACAGTATAGCGACATGGAACCCCTTGCAACAAAATACATATTTTGGTGATTGGTTCACTTTAATTGCTCATCGCTCCTGTCATTATTTTTCATTCATCCAATACCTCCACCATGTAAACTTCAATATATCCATTTGCTTTTAGCTAGATCCTCGAGTATCATTTGTATACCACGCCCCTTAAAAAAATCAAAATTGTATAACATTGCAATAATGACACACAAACAAATGGCACTACATTTTTGAAAATTTTATTCCCAAATCACAAAACGGCATGGTTTACAAGATATACAGAAATCAGACAAATTAGAAATTAAATTAAATAATATTAGATAAAGCCAGTGCTTTAACAACGTCTAAAGCAAATCATGATTAGTCAAAACAAAACTATACCATGTATATAAAGTTTGTAAACTGCAAGAAAATGCACAGGTAACTCTTCATAAGTTGAAGCTGTTGGGAACACATACAAATTTTGACTTTAAAATTGCTCGAGCGAGGATATATATATAGAGGGCAGTGTAATACCCATTGGCTCAGTGTAATGTAGTTATCGCCAAGTTGCCACTTCACGATGACTGTATACCCACGCATAAACATCTCCAATATGCAAACAAAAAATCAACTTAGGAATTAGTGTAAATATTACGTTTTGCATAGTTTGGTCCACAAACAATTATTTGAATTGGGGAAATTTGCTTTGTGCAACTTCGAGTCAACTGTTCATTCAACAAAATTGAATCGTCTCACGATCAACAGATTTAATTTAACATAACTTCAACTATTTAATTTCATATTTCCTAGAAACTCCTAGGATCTATTCACTGACAGAATGATAGCATTGTCACTATTTATTTCTTAAAGTCCATTGTTAAAGAAAATGTTAGAATAGTACCTTATTCACTGGGAAAATAACATTGTTTTATTGGAAGAGTTTAATTATATTTATACAATAGTACAATCACTAATAATTTCATTGATTAGATTTTTTTTTTTGCCTGTGCACAGTCCATTATTATGAACAAGTTAGAATATGAGAGAAACATTGATTTGGTAAGTTTTTTGGTTGTAATTTTTTTAAACAAATTGTTAAGAAATATAGTATTAAAAATCACTAGTTTTTCTCTAAATTGGCACAACATTTTTCGACCCTCTGCATTGCCCATTATTATGAAAAATGTTATCATATTATCGTACCATTGTCATTTAAGAGAAATGATTGTTTTGTTGGAAGGAGTTAAAGATAACGTTGAGTTCTGGTCATGTGATTGCATTGTGAAAGAAATAGTGTGGAATCGATAAGAAAAGGTCGATCATCTAGCATATCAGTATTGGTGTGTATTGCAAGGTTCTGGAATCATCAAAAATGATAAGAAATGTGGTCCAGTCTCTGTAAAGTTACAAGCACTGTACACAGAAAGATGTATATGGGACTACACGAACATGTGGCATAAAAATCTATCCCAATTTTTATGCTGTTACATGCCGTACTTAGAACATTTTTCATCCGTTGTTCTTTCACACTTTCTTAATAACAATGATAACGCACAAATTATGTTTCACCTCTTCCCAGAACTCAACCTTCTCTTTAAGTTTGGTAGCGATCATTTGGTTTTCTTCTCTGCTAGTCTCTTGAGGCTGACCTTCCGGATGGCGCTGTGGATGGACATCTGAACGCTGTCCAATAACCAGTCTGGCACCGATCCAACGACCCAACCCTGTAGGGTGAGAGAGAAACAGAGAGGGAGGGTGAAGGAGGAGGAAAGACTGAGAGGGGGATTGAGCGAAGGGGTATATATGGGGAGGGAGGGGTGGAGGGGTGGAGGAGTGAGGGAGGGGAGAGAGAAAGAGAGAGAATGGGATTGAGCGAAGGGGTATAGATGGGGAGGGAGGGGTGGAGGAGTGAGGGAGGGGAGAGAGAAAAAGAGAGAAGGGGAGTGATGGAGGAGGAAAGATTGAGAGGGGGATGAAGGGAGAGACAGGGAGGGAGAGTGAGATAGAGAGAGAAAATAGAGAGGAGTGATTGAGAGGGGGGATGGAGGGGAGAGACAGGGAGGGAGAGTGAGATAGAGAGAGAAAATAGAGAGGGGGAGTGATTGAGAGGGGGGATGAAGGGAGAGACAGGGAGGGAGAGTGAGATAGAGAGAAAATAGAGAGGAGTGATAGAGAGGGGGGATGGAGGGAGAGACAGGGAGGGAGAGTGAGATAGAGAGAGAAAATAGAGAGGAGTGATTGAGAGGGGGGATGAAGGGAGAGACAGGGAGGGAGAGTGAGATAGAGAGAGAAAATAGAGAGGGGGAGTGATTGAGAGGGGGGATGAAGGGAGAGACAGGGAGGGAGAGTGAGATAGAGAGAGAAAATAGAGAGGGGGAGTGATTGAGAGGGGGGATGAAGGGAGAGACAGGGAGGGAGAGTGAGATAGAGAGAGAAAATAGAGAGGAGTGATTGAGAGGGGGGATGAAGGGAGAGACAGGGAGGGAGAGTGAGATAGAGAGAGAAAATAGAGAGGGGGAGTGATTGAGAGGGGGGATGAAGGGAGAGACAGGGAGGGAGAGTGAGATAGAGAGAGAAAATAGAGAGGAGTGATTGAGAGGGGGGATGGAGGGAGAGACAGGGAGGGAGAGTGAGATAGAGAGAGAAAATAGAGAGGAGTGATTGAGAGGGGGGATGGAGGGGAGAGACAGGGAGGGAGAGTGAGATAGAGAGAGAAAATAGAGAGGGGGGATGGAGGGGAGAGACAGGGAGGGAGAGTGAGATAGAGAGAGAAAATAGAGAGGGGGAGTGATTGAGAGGGGGGATGGAGGGGAGAGACAAGGAGGGAGAGTGAGATAGAGAGAGAAAATAGAGAGGGGGAGTGATTGAGAGGGGGGATGGAGGGAGAGACAGGGAGGGAGAGTGAGATAGAGAGAGAAAATAGAGAGGAGTGATTGAGAGGGGGGATGAAGGGAGAGACAGGGAGGGAGAGTGAGATAGAGAGAGAAAATAGAGAGGAGTGATTGAGAGGGGGGATGGAGGGGAGAGACAGGGAGGGAGAGTGAGATAGAGAGAGAAAATAGAGAGGGGGAGTGATTGAGAGGGGGGATGGAGGGGAGAGACAGGGAGGGAGAGTGAGATAGAGAGAGAAAATAGAGAGGGGGAGTGATTGAGAGGGGGGATGGAGGGGAGAGACAGGGAGGGAGAGTGAGATAGAGAGAGAGGGAGAGAGAGAGAGAGAGAAAATAGAGAGGGGGAGTGATTGAGAGGGGGGATGGAGGGGAGAGACAGGGAGGGAGAATGAGATAGAGAGAGAAAATAGAGAGGGGGAGTGATTGAGAGGGGGAGTGATTGAGAGGGGGAGTGATTGAGAGGGGGGATGGAGGGGAGAGACAGGGAGGGAGAGTGAGATAGAGAGAGAAAATAGAGAGGGGGAGTGATTGAGAGGGGGGATGGAGGGGAGAGACAGGGAGGGAGAGTGAGATAGAGAGAGGGGGAGTGATTGAGAGGGGGGATGGAGGGGAGAGACAGGGAGGGAGAGTGAGATAGAGAGAGAAAATAGAGAGGGGGAGTGATTGAGAGGGGGGATGAAGGGAGAGACAGGGAGGGAGAGTGAGATAGAGAGAAAATAGAGAGGAGTGATTGAGAGGGGGGATGAAGGGAGAGACAGGGAGGGAGAGTGAGATAGAGAGAGAAAATAGAGAGGGGGAGTGATTGAGAGGGGGGATGGAGGGGAGAGACAGGGAGGGAGAGTGAGATAGAGAGAGAAAATAGAGAGGGGGAGTGATTGAGAGGGGGGATGAAGGGAGAGACAGGGAGGGAGAGTGAGATAGAGAGAGAAAATAGAGAGGAGGAGTGATTGAGAGGGGGGATGAAGGGAGAGACAGGGAGGGAGAGTGAGATAGAGAGAGAAAATAGAGAGGGGGAGTGATTGAGAGGGGGGATGAAGGGAGAGACAGGGAGGGAGAGTGAGATAGAGAGAGAAAATAGAGAGGAGGAGTGATTGAGAGGGGGGATGAAGGGAGAGACAGGGAGGGAGAGTGAGATAGAGAGAGAAAATAGAGAGGGGGAGTGATTGAGAGGGGGGATGAAGGGGAGAGACAGGGAGGGAGAGTGAGATAGAGAGAGAAAATAGAGAGGGGGAGTGATTGAGAGGGGGGATGGAGGGGAGAGACAGGGAGGGAGAGTGAGATAGAGAGAGAAAATAGAGAGGGGGAGTGATTGAGAGGGGGGATGGAGGGTTGAGGGGAGGGAAGAAAAAAGAGAGGGAGTGGAGAGAGGGGGAGTGATTGAGAGAGAAAATAGAGAGTGGTCGAGGTGGAGAGATTGAGAGGGGGAAGTGAGGAAAGGGGGATAGATGGGAGGGAGAGCGAGATAGAGAGAGTGAGTTAAAGAAAGGAGTGATTGAGAGGAGAGAGGGTTGTGGATGGAGAGAGAAGGAGATAGAGAGTTAAAGGGAGGGGGGAGTGATGGAGGAAGAAATATTGAGAGGAGGGAGTGTGGAAAGTGTGAGAGAGAGAGAGGGGGAGAGAGAGTGAGAAAGAGAAAAGAAAGAGTTACGAGAGAGAGGGGGAGACAGGAAGGGAGAGTGAAGAGGGGGCAGAGTGGGAAAATGGATGTACAAAAACCGGGAGAGGAAAAAGTGGAGAAGCATACATTAACAAACTATTTATGAAATAAAATGAAAGGCCATCTACAGTAAATTGAAATTGGCATTTGATCATGGAAGTAAGAGAATTCTTTCTCTTTTAAGGCAAAAAAATATAATACACACCTGAAGGTTGTGCATAAGGCAGCCATTGGTGCGATTTCCTGACCCCAAGGTCGCGAGGGCGGTCTTCACATAGGACGTGGGGCTCGGGATGGTCATGGTTTCGCGTCTGAGCTTGCTGAGTTTGGTTGTGACGTAGAACGGCATTACAGACTATGAAAAAGAACACATTAAACAACATATAAACACATGTCATTTTGAGGAAGAGCACAATCGGTAGATTTAGGGTTATGGTCTTACATCTTTTCTTGCTGAGTTTGGTTGTTACGTAGAACGGCATTACCGACTATGAATAAGAAAACATGGAACAACATGTATTATTTCTAGGAAAGAACAGTGTTGGTAGATTCAGGGTTATGGTTTCGCGTCTGAACTTGCTGAGTTTGGTTGTGACTCAGAACGGCATTACAGACTATGAATAAGAAAATATTGAACATGCATTATTTCTAGGAAAGAACAGTGTTCTTGACCCTTGACCCTGAATCTACCAACACTGTTCTTTCCCTCAGGGTCAAGGTCTCGCGTCTGAACTTGCTGAGTTTGGTTGTGACTCAGAACGGCATTACAGACTATGAATAAGAAAATATTGAACATGCATTATTTCTAGGAAAGAACAGTGTTGGTAGATTCAGGGTCATGGTCTCGCGTCTGAGCTTGCTGAGTTTGGTTGTGACTCAGAACGGCATTACAGACTATGAATAAGAAAATATTGAACATGCATTATTTCTAGGAAAGAACAGTGTTGGTAGATTCAAGGTTATGGTTTCGCGTCTGAACTTGCTGAGTTTGGTTGTGACTCAGAACGGCATTACCCACTATGAATAAGAAAACATGGAACAACATGTATTATTTCTAGGAAAGAACAGAGTTGGTAGATTCAGGGTTATGGCTTCGCGTCTGAACTTGGTGAGTTTGGTTGTGACTCAGAACGGCATTACCGACTATGAGAAATAAAAACATGGAACAACATGTATTATTTCTAGGAAAGAACAGTTGGTAGATTCAGGGTCATGGCTTCGCGTCTGAGCTTGCTGAGTTTGGTTGTGACTCAGAAAGGCATTACCGACTATGTATAAGAAAACATGGAACAACATGTATTATTCTTAAGAAGAACACAATCCGTAGATTTAAGGTTATGGTCTCGATCGACCTAAGCTCGGCGAGCTTGGTTGTAACGCAAGTGCTGTGCTGGAGATTGAACCCCCGACCTTTGCATCTCCGGTCAAGTTTTTAAACCACTCAACTACAACACCTCTATTTCAAAGGTCCAGACAGATCACTCTTTCCTCCTCAAATTGGCATCAGTTATTCTTATTTTCATCTTCTACATAGTGCAAAAAATCAAATGAACCAATGTGAAAGAAGATAACTGAATTCAACAAAAAATTGCTGATTTGTACACAAGAATAGTGATTATAGATATCACACCAAATTGCCAATTTAGAGATTATAATGATTATGGACAATCAAATCATTCTTATTCGTGAACGGCACAGTGTACTGCATCAGAAATGGACTCAAAATTGTTTGTGATTTTTGCTCATTCTGCTCGTGTACAATGTGTTATTCCTAGAATTCTAAATCAAAAGGCCGTTTCAAGCAGACACTGAACTGCTATGAGCTGAATAATGAGAAATAAAAGATAAAGATGAGTTCTGGTTGTGAGTCGTGGGATTGCATCGCAAAAGAAACTGTTGAGAAGAAATTGGAGAAGATTGATCATGTAGCAGATAAGTATTGGCGCATACTATGAGGTTTTGGAATCATAGAAATGATATCAAACTGGCCCAGTCTTATACTTATCGTCACATGCACTGTGCACAGAAATCTGTATATGGGACTACATAAACATGTACGGTAACATGAACGTGCGGTCCACAACCATTACCTGTTAATTGTCATGTTTTGAATACTGGGGCATTTGAAGAGCAAACCTTTGCAGGGGCTCTTTTTCTATGATACTCTTCCACACTAACATATAAAGAATGAAAAAGCTCACAAAATGTTTTGCACCTTTCCAGAACTCGACCTTCTCTTTAAAGCGATACCGAACTGATCGACTTTCTGCCCTAGCGTATTGTTTATTGCACATCGCCATCTCATGATCAACGTGGCAACAGTGCGTAGCCAAACACCTAATTTCCGCTTTGCAACCAGCAGCGCAGCTAGGGGAGCAGCAAGTTATGGGACCATACTACCACAGCTGACCTGAGATGGCGCTATAGAGGATCTCACGGTCGTGCTCCTAGTACGGAGTGGCTTTAAGATGAAAATATATTTCCTTACCTGTACTTGTATTCCCTTGGAGCGGTATTCAACGTCTAACCCTCGCGAGAAGAAGTCCACAAAGACCTAAGATGAGAAGAGAAAACAGTACCCATTATACAAACCAATTATAAATGACCTCCTTAAAGGGATCCGGTAACTTTGTCTTAGATCCTTTAAAAAAATCCTTGATTTAGCTCATGCTGCAATGATAATTATATACCTTTAAGATCAGTCAGGAACTTTTACAAGCTGATTGCCTGTCTGATTATAAAGATATTTGTGATTGAAAATCAAAACCAAATTTTGTGTTTGCCAAACGGTTTTCATAGCACTACAGTCTATTGGGGAAAACGAGTATGGTAAAACTGGTCACTCAAAGGTTTTTACTTCTTTGAGGCACTTCTTGATCATTTGAAGCGCAATTTTTTTTAGGGCTTTAATATTACACCATATCACAGACACTGAAAACACGTAAGGCCATGCATCTCAGATTTAAGATTGTTAAACGATGCCTTTACGGGTTCGTTCAGATATGACGCAGCAAAACAGTGGCGGTTTAAGTATGATGACGTAGAGTGTGAAATGCTTCACAATGCTGTATCTCATATATCTCTTACAAGCAAAGATCTCAGTTAGTACGCAACGTCCTTGTGTTGGCGCGGTTACCCTTTATTTACACATAAAAATAACCATGGTGGCTTTTTCTCAGCGATTTACCTTGCTATATATCTGGTCAAGCCTTAGCAAAGACCATGTGATGAAATAATTTCAAAAAGCTCTTAAATTCACCAAGTGTATCCATCTTGAGAAAAGAAGAGTGCAAATTGCAAACATTCCTGTTATTAGGCCTAAAAAAAAAAGATGTGGAAATTGCCCTTTAGGTGCCAAAAATGGGGCGGTCGGTTAAAAAAAAAAAAAAAATTAACTTTTTTTTTCTTCTTTTTTTCTCTGTCTCTGGGCAGATTTTTCTCAGTTTTGAATGCTTTAATATTTTTTTTCACTAAAAAACAGTTAAAAAACTTTTTTGTAAAGCCGAACGTAGATTTCAAAAATTTTGGGTCAGTCGCAAAGGGCAATACAACTTCTTTTATTTTTAGGCCTTAGGTAGGGCAAGCCCTAATGGTTTTTTTTCTACCGGTATCTAGCAGTAGCAACAACTAACTAACAAACAACTTATACAATAATACATAACAGGTAAATGTCAATTAAATTAATACAACATAACTGGTGAATGTCAATTAAATTAATACAACATAACAGGTGAATGTCAATTAAATTTTGGGTAAAGGTTTAATTTTTTTTGTTTAATTAAATGATTTATTGAATAGCGGCCCAGTACCTTTGTAGCAGAGTAGACCGTTAGCATGGGGCTTGGGTTCATGCCTGACGCCGATGATACATTGATGATAATACCCCTCTTCCTGCATAAGAAATTGAAAAAATAATATAATTTAAACAAACATGTTAGAGAGCTCTTACACATACAAAATTGTGAGTGGTTCACAACTCAAAACGTAAGATCTTTTGCGAGGATTGTGATTAGCCTCTTACACTCCTGGGAGGGGGGAGGGGTGTTTCACAAAGACTAAGATCAACTTTAAGTTAGACTAACTATGGCAGGCTGTTCATTTTTTGCTTTTACCATTTACTAGCATTGGTCTCTCAAGGGTTGTATAAATCGTTGTCACAAATCTACAGAACTTAAATTTTGTTTATAGTTCATTATAGAAGGAAAAAATATTATCTAAAGATGATGATTGAGAGACCAATAGTGAGAGCCCCCAGTGGCAAGAATGGCCTGCCATAGTTAAGTCCAACTTAAAGGTAATACAAAGTTTTGGTATGGGGTCATGAATTTGGTTCAAATTAACATATTGGAAGCATAATGCGAATCTACAGTATTCAGTGATCGTTGTCGCGGCTGAAATTGAGTCTAAAGTTATGAAATTGTAAATAGTAAACTCTTTCTGTTGTATAGCTCCCTCTTAAGGTCAAGATATTAATTAAGCTATAAAACAATGTTTCTTGACTAAAATAGACCGATTGGCTATTCCCTTCTGAAAATTATGTATCACAACTACATATTCTGAAATTTTCATGGTCGCAGCTACTATTTTATGGCCGTAGGCGCTATTTGAAATTTATCAAAATTTACCGGGAGCACCGGTAAATCTGTTATAATCCATTTTTCTCGAAAGCAGAAGTGTTTTAGGGGCTAAATTTTCTAGTGCTTATATTACATCCACAGGGGCATCCAAATATATCAAAATTGTGAAGAATCACTATCCAGCCAATTTTCAATATTTCCCAAAACTTTGTATTACCTTTAAAGTCGATCTTAGTCTTTGTGAAACACTACCCAGGTAATTTTTCGATGTTTAGTACATCAAATGAACATATTTTTGGTTCCCACCATATCCAAGTAACCCTGCGAACCCTAGCGTGTATCCATTGTTTGCATTGTCTATAAAGCCACATGCATTTGATGCGGAAACATGGATGGCTCGAGAAAAAAATTAATTATTATTATCGTTATCATTATTTTTATGATTATTAATTATCATCACCATCATCACCATATTTGTTCGTTATTGTCTGCTCTTACCTTTCAACCATACCAGGCAAAACAAGGTTGGTCATCTAAACGTAAAGAAAAAAAATATATATATATGTGAATTCAAAGAATAGGTTATCATCACTTAAAAATTAAATTGAAATTGATAAGGTTTGTAGAACAACAACAACAACAAAATGGAGAAGAAAAAGAAGAAGAAGAAGCAGATCTTTGATAAAAAGGAAGAAATCATGGTTAATAGTAAAGTCAGAGTTCACAAACTCAGTAATGAAATTCAATGGGCAGGTGAAAAGTCAGTATAAAACCAGTTTCTAACCAATTTAATCGAGATAGATTAAAAAAAAGAATGATTTAAAACAACAATATCTTTGTCGAAAAGTCAGATAATCATTTCTATTACAGTTACTAATACAATAATTACATGTGAGTGTAAAGCGATCAGATTCTAGAAGGATTGTATCCAATAATTACAATGCTAAAACTTGTGTTATACCTGTCGTCTCATAATTATGAATAATTTACCTAACCATAGTTTGGTGTTTTATTTTGATCTTATGACCCACAATTCTCTAAATTACAAATTGCATGTGAACAGAAAGTGAAATAATCACTGGAAACTTGGAAAGGTTTAATACATTTATGTAGGCAGTTGCAGTACATCGAGGTCATTCATAACTAAAAGCGATGTAATCCAAAAATAATGATTGAAGTCTCTAAATTGACAACGCATGTGAAATGTGTATTTCTGTCCACAAAATTACAAATTTGCAACTTCTTGTTGATATTTTGATATTTTCACATTCACACTCTTTCATTTAATACAACTTTTATTTTTTAACTATGAAAGAGTGGACAAGAAAAATGACTGTTGCAAATTTGAGGAGTAAGAGCTGATTCATTTAATACCTGTAGAAAAAACTGTACGGCTATTGGTCAATATTGGAAAAAAAATAACAAAGGACCTTCATCATACCATTACAATAGTATAGTATTAATGACTGCTTTGAGAGAAATAGTTGTTTTATTACGCTCAAGGGAAGGTTAGAATTGTGCTATTCCCCGAGGCTTGCCGAGGGGAATAGCCCAATTGTAACCTTCCCGAGAGCGTATGAAAACAACTATTTCTCGAATATTAAAGCAGTCATTAATACTTTTATATGCCGAAAAAAAATAGACTAAAAAATAAAAAATAAAAAATACTTTTTTTTTTGGTCGAAGATGAGATTCGAACTCTTGCGTACAAAAGGTGATGTATTTATAGTCAGCGCCTCAGACCTCTCGGCCATCGCGCGTTATTAACATGCACGGCAGTTTTGTCCAATATATACATTAAAATGGATTGAAACCGGCTTCGCGTGTGATGAATGCTTCGCAAAAGCTCCATATACGGACTCTTCTTTTACTTATGCAATGCATATTGGCACGAACTTAGATCAAGATCTATCGGCAGATGTTGTTTTTTTGTTTTTGAGAGTTAATTTTCGTCTTCATGTCAACAATGCAAGATAAAATTGTCGGTAAGATCGATCGAGATTCAATTGTATTGAAATTGCCGACCAATTTTTCGCACACGTATGGTATCCTCCATCGCTCAAACCATTTTTTAACATGTAAACCTATGGGGTAACCATGGAGACTGACCTATTTTTTTAATAACCATGGTTATTAAAAATATTGAAATGTTTTATGCATGGTTACCGGGAATTTTACAGGAACAGTTGAAGTTTATGAATGCAATTCGACCAATCAGATGGCTGGATTTCTTAAGTGAGGTATATAAATTTTAATATTCTTTCACTATGAAAGGGTGGAAATACAAATAACTGTTGCCAACTTGAGGAGGAAAAGCTGATTCTTTTAAGACATTTAGAAAATTCCCAACTGCTATATATACAGGTCAATACAGGAAAAATTAAAACAAAGGAACTTTATCATACCATTACGACAGATAGGCAGTTGATGTTGATGATGTTTGGCAGAAACTGTGAAGAGAAAATAAATTTTAAAAATTAAGCGTCTTAAATTAGATTGTAGTGGCAGGAATAGAGACATCCGGAGCGCAAAATGTATAATTGTTGGAAAATCATAATGTCATCACACAGAGTTAGAAGCACATCATTAGGATATGGAGCTGGTAATGTCCTATCTTGAAATACCTCAACTTACAAAATTACTCAATGTGAATATAAGCATGAAAGACTTTTTATAGATTCATAAAAATATGTAAATCACAATTAGTTACAGAGAAGAAGTATGTTTTAAAGGCATCGTTTAACAATGTTAAATCTGAGATGCACGGCCCTACCTGTTATCAGTGTCTGTGATATTGTGTAATATTGAAGCCCTAAAAAAAATCGCGCTTCAAAGTGATCAAGAAGTGCCTCAAAAAAGTAAAAATCTTTGAGTGACCGGTTTTACCATACTCGTTTTGCCTAATAGACTGCAGTGTTATCATGAAAAATGTTTGGCAAACGGTTTTCAAAATTTGCAATTCCAATCGTAAATATCTTGATAATCAGACGGGCGATCGGCTTGTAAAAGTCATGGGGTTCGTGACTGACCTACAGGTGAACAATTATCATTGCAGCATGAGCTAAATCCAGGATTTAGTTTCAAAATCTGAGACAAAGTTATCGGATCCCTTTAAGGAAACTTTGGAAAGAGGCAAGACATATTAATTCTCTGATATTAAAGTGTTAGATCAAAGCCAATAGAAAAACATTTCGTACTATCCCATCTAGTGGCGACAAAACGTCGGTCTGATGATGCCTGCAGCAACCAGTAGGCAAAAATCTCACAGGTAACACAACCTTTTTGATTGTGAAACTACCAATCAGATGAACCTCTTTAAGGATCAAACAAAAATAAATCAGATCAAATGGGCATTTCACAAAACTTGTCATCAGTGACAAATGACAGTTTGCGTTACAAGCTACTGAATTCCTTGCTTGTGATTGGTTATCAACAGATTTTTAACTGATTTTTGTGATTTGTCATTGAAAAAAGGCTTTGTGAAACGGGTCCTTGGTGGGGGGCATTTCACAAAACTTGTCATCAGTGACAAATTACAGTTTTTGTTATAAGCTACCGAAATCCATGCTTCCGATTGGTCATCGACAGATTTTTCACTGATTTTTGACATTTGTCATTGAAAACTTGTCATCAGTGACAAATGACAGTTTATAGCTACTGAAATCCTTACTTCTGATTGGTTATGGACAGATTTGTCACTGATTTTGTCATAAATTTCATTGAAAAAAGGCTTTGTGAAATGGGTACTCGGTGGGAGGGCGTTTCATAAAACTTGTCATCAGTGACAAATGGCAGTTTTTGTTATAAGCTACTGAAATCCTTGCTTCTGATTGGTTATCGACAGATTTTTTACTGATTTTTGTCATTTTAATTGGAAACTTGTCATCGAAAACCTGGTGGGGGGGGGGGGGGGGGGGCGTTTCACAAAACTTGTCATCGGTGACAAATGACAGTTTTTGTTATAAGCTACTGAAATCCTTACTTCTGATTGGTTATCAGTAGATTTGTCGCTGATTTTTGTCATTTGTTATTGAAAAAAAGATAAAACATGAAATAAGTCCCAAATCTTTACCTTCTCTGCATCGGCTAGCTCACAGAAGTACTGGGGGAAACTGTACGACATGCCAACGTTGTTTACCAGGACTCCAATGTCCAGTCCGGTCAGCTGATCTCCGATCGATGGATAGATGTCCCCTCCTCCGGTGAAATCAACAGCGAACGTCTTCGTCTCCACCTTGTATCTTTGCTCTGAGGGATAGATGAGATGAGATGAGGATGTGATGAGTATTTTGAGCAGCATCAGTAACGGGAGGATCGTTTTCATCGTCGTCATCACCATCATCATCAACATCTTCACCACCATCAGCAGCAACATCATTTGTCACCATCATTATCGTCATCTTTATAGTCATCATTCATCATCATCATCATCGTCATCATCATCATCGTCGTCATTCATCTTCACCATTATCATAATCATCATCTTCACCACCATCAACAGCAACACCATTAGTCACTATCATCACCACCACCACCACCATCACTACCACAATCAACATCATCATCATCACCATCATCATCAACATCATTAGCATACATGCCAACATTTGAAAATCAGAAATCTGTACAAATTATGCTATTTTTAAAAAAAAGAGGAACAATCCTAACTCTCCTATTCAATACTACAGACAAATTTGTACAGGAAGAGGAACACCTGCATTAAAATGATAATTATCTTCTCCCAAAAAGAGGAATGTTCCTCTTTAATCTAAACAGTTGGCATGTATGCATTAGTCACTATCACCACCAGCACCACCACCACCACCATCATCGCCAACATCACCACCACCATCATCACCATCATCATCACCACAATCATCACCAACATCATCAACCTCTCATTGCCTTACCAATCTGTGTTGCAACATCCTTGAGTTTGTCTGGAGAGCGGCTCAGCAGATAGATATTAAGACCCTTGGCTGCAAGCTAATATATGATATATAACATGAAAAAGATTCAAATCGGGTAATTACCAGGCCTGCTTTATAACGCTACATTGTTCTATTCAATAATAAATGTCTCTGAAAAGGCCATTCATGGTTACATGTAGATGTTTTGTTGAAAAGTTGGAAAATTGCCAATTTTGATAAAATAATAAAGATGTTGACCCTCCTAACGTGTTGCCAATTTAAGCACTTCAAAGCTCAATATCGTTTTTCAAACTCGTGTGGTCATGCAACAAAATGGACATCATATATATGCAGAGCTTTAAGTCCTTTCTTTTTGAACAAATCTGGGGGGGGGGTGTTTCACAAATCACAAGGATCCTAAGTTGAACTCTATAAAGTTGGACTTATGGAGAGCCTTTTGTAGCCATAAAAAAAATATGTTCCGAAGCAAAAATTCTATGTATTTTAGACATTCTATAAATTCCACATCAAGAACATAAAATGATTTGAGTCAACATTTTATGCCTTATAAAATAATTTTTACAAAGTATTTTTAAAGATGCTAACGGCTTTCCATAATTGTTAGGTCAAACTTAGAGACAAGTTCAACTGAAGATCTTTGTGAAACACCCCCCAGGTACATGAATATTTGTTGGGGGTCTGAGTCAAAATTTATAGCTCTGCTGAACAATGGAATGTGAAATGCTTGTCAAGAATAGGACTGGAAGAGGCTCAAAACTAGACAAACGTTAAAAACTCAGCAAACCAGAGAGACTGTCTGTCTATAATTTACCTGTTCAGCATAAGCTTTTCCAATTCCATCAGTGGCTCCAGTCACAACTGTATATGGAAGACAAAAAAAGCAAAATAAGAAAATGCTAGATAGATAGATAGTCAACCGTCGGATATTGCGCAACTGCTTTTAACTATAAAGTTTCCGCAATGCACGCTTTTAGATTTTATCAATATCAGGAGGGAACTAAGCAGTTGTGTCAACAACCGATCGCAACGATAAACAAATGCCATGTATATTAAGGTCTCCCTTCATTTTGAAAGAACGTAATAAAATTAGAAAATGGCAGAACATGGCTGAAGAAGGTTGGCCCTATCGGTAAAACTACATGTAGTAAAACTTAAAGTACTAGATCTAAGACTGAAGACTAAGCAGACTCTAGGCTCCAACTTAGGAAATTTTCAAGTACAAAGCTTGTGAGTTTCTTTTGTGTCTTATTTGTTATCATCATTGATTCATTAAATTGTTTATTAAATTGTTAAACCCATTTGAAAGTATCGTAATAATACAGCAGGCTTTACAGTGGCAGTGCTGTAGATAGACCGAAAACTTCAGTCTCTCTAATCGTCGGTTGTTCCACTGAGACTACGTCTGGCTACACTAGACCTCCGATTATAGAGACTGAAGTACGGCCTATGGGGACCGTGAGGGTAGAGTGACCGAACAGAGATGAACCAAATGCTCCGAGGTTTTTCTCTTTTTACGTCTTTATCAAATCTAATTGTGCTGCCATTCTACAGCCCCCGTTATCTATACAATAACGAAAACTTAAATATATACGTTGACTTACGATAGTTTGCTTATTCAGCTCCAAAATTAATGATTAGAGTCTAATCCGAGAAAGTCTTGTAGTCGTTGTCAGCCATCTTGGTTTTAGTTGATGAATAATAATTTTTTTCTTTGCGAACGTCCAATAGCTACCATAGCTACGTACAAGTCAGCCCGGCTTGACCAACGAAACGAGTGCTCTGATTGGCCATTGGCTATGTTTTGGTAGGTTGACCCGGAAATATATCGGCCGCCGGGTCATATAGCCCTATGTTCGAGTGCATGAACGTACGGTTTCACAGTTCTGAGACGAAAATGGGACATTTGTATAGGCCCCTAGACTAAGTAAGTTTAAAAATTTCATATTTGTATAAGATTTCAATCAAAAATATGTAGTGTAAATACAGTATTGCTTGGAATAAAGTAGACACTCTCACACTGTGTCACGCCTGACTGCATGCATTATCCCATAGACCTTGGTGTGACTTGGTGGTAGACCTAATGTGTCTACTTTTTTTCAAGCAATACAGTAGGAAAACACTACTTAGAAGTTCTAGATCTATACCTACACTACTCTATACCTATTTTACATCTGATTTAGAAATTAGAAAATTAGATCTAGAGGTCTAGATCTAGACTAGATCTAGATCTAACTTTTAAATAAAGAAAATCGGGGGAGAAATGTCAGGAACGAAGTCGAAGAGATGTTCCGCTGTGCCCTCGATTAGGCCTACCCGTACCCCCACGGTACTACGAGATCTCTGTTGTACTGTCTGTATTGGGGAATGTCAACAAATGTCAGTTTTATTAAGAAATGACCCAAAACAGACGATTATTTCTGTCTATGCTGTAGAGTGATGTAACTACAGTGCAGTGTTGCCTTTTTATGCCGATATTTGTGTCCCAGACCCAGGTCCCCGCGCCGCCGGTACTCACCCGCCCATTTTCCATGCCGTTTGGGGTCCGTCGCTAGGCCAAGCGGTCTCGCCAAAATAAACGTCTTCACATTCTTCAAAATAGACCACAATACCCTCAGAATTTTGTTCAAAGCTGCAATAACACCAATAACTGCAAATATATTAATTACGACGGTGGGTGGCACGTAAGAACTCATTTTGTAGGCCTAGAGTCTATAATCTATTTCTCGCCGGTCGAAGGAAAAAGAGGCTGACCGATCGTACGATTTAACGTGTTTGAATTGCTAGCCTTGATATGTGCGGATTAAATTATAAATATTATTAAATAGGTTTCACTGTTGTCGTACAGATTAATCTAAATAATAACATTTTAAAATTCTAGATTCTGATCTAACCTTCATCATGAGAATGATATGGAGAAACAAATATTCTCTTTTAAATTAATCTAGGACTAACCTTAACTTGTAAGGGGCAAAGAAAATGATTTTTAAAATCCTCAAGCGCACAGGACAAAGGCAATTATGCATTAAACGCCCTTGATATCGATAAGGAGAAGGACTCGCCTAAAATCGTCATGCTCAGGCGGACCCCAGTTCGAAGCTGAGCTGAGTCAATCTTTCGGATCGTGAGTTCGTGACGTTATAAGTCGGCCCAGACTTACGCGTCTGTAAACAACTAATGATGATTACAATTTTTTTAAATACGAATACGCACCAACTTTACAACAAATCTGGGTGGTTGCATGTTCTTTCCATCAAGTAAATAGTATGACTGAATTTTTGTCACTGTTTTTTATATATTCCATTAATATTTATATCCGGCGCGCATCAGCAGTGGTGGGGGGATTTTTTTTTCTTTACTCAGCAGACCCCCCCCCCCCCCCCCTTGACCAGAAAAGAAAGATAACGTTATGGTTACAATTTTGTTTGTAAATTATACATTTTTATATGTTGCTTGGAAAATTATAAATTTCGAAATTTACAGCTAGTCATCAGGCGAAAACAAATATGTTAAAGCGGCCTACATGTCAGGGCCTGCAGAAGAAAGGGGCTCGGGGCCCCACCTTCATTTTTTTGAAAAAGTATGTTAATGAGAAAAAGAAAGAGAGAGAAAAAAAGAATGGGTGACCTACCAGTGTCTCAAAAGAGGTATCAAAATATGTTCATCTGACCGAAAATAAATGCCTAAAACCCCTGAGTTCCCCCTGACCCCCCCCCCCCCTCCCCACCGATTAGTGACGTGCATTGGCGTATATCTAACATCTAACACCTCCCCCCCCCCTCGGCAAAAAGGGGCTGCTTTAGGTGTCTAAACAAACCCCCCCCCCCCCCTTCTTGGCAAAAGAAAAAAAGGCTGAGTGCTTACCCCCCCCCCCCCTCGCCTATTCACCGGCTGACTCGCCGCTAAATTTTTCGTCACGAATTGGGCAAAATATATAAAATAGTTTTAAAAATTTGTTTTTGATCATGTATTATTTATTGACTGTGGTAGGCTATCTGTCTTTTGGCCCGAACTTTGGCCCGAACTTGGTACCTGTTCTTGACAGTAATGACGATGGCCATTCTTACCTTCATTAAACCGACATTTCGTTCAGTTGGGGGGGGGGGGGTAAGGTAGGTCACCTTTTTTGTCACCCTTTAGCACAATTTTTTTTTTGGGGGGGAGTTTCCTCCGAAACACACTCATACAACAAAATTGAGGGGGGTTCACCCCCCCCCCCCCCCCCTGCGTACGCGTCTGTGTGGTGCAGATTTTTCCTCTGCCCCCAAATGTTTTTGCCCATTAGTACGCCACTGCCCCAGGAAGGTGAACCCCCTGGAATTCCCCCCCCCCCCCCCCCCATCCGAAACCGCTTCCGGCGCGCCTGACGGTAGAACTTCTAGAGGCCGACATCGTGGCAGTTGGACAGAAACCTGAAATTAATCCAGCTATCGCTAGCCGGTTTCAAGGTCATCAGTTATCCACAAGAACTGAAGCGATAGGCGTGGGGGAGGAGTAGCCTTATTGGATCTAGGTAGGGGCCAAATCGAACGCGGCCCCCATTTTGGGCGGCCTAAGAAAAAGGGAGAAGAAAACGGAGAAAATAAGTTAAAAGAGAAAAAAAGAGAGGAATAGGAGAGAAAGAGAAGGAAAGTGATGATAACTTTTAATTTTGATTACTCTAATCTGCGGTCGGCAATGTATTGGATAGGATGGAAACCAAATCCCACCGCAAGCTATGCGTATTACCTGCATAAAAGTTTTGATCAGTGGCGGTTGGGAGCGGCGAATAAGCCGCAGATCTTCTTTTTTTTTGCGGCCTCAAAAATTAAATGGGAAAAAGAGAAAGCGGTGGAAGAAAGAGGAGAACAGAAAGAGAACGATGCAATAGAGAAGTAGATTGAGGGAAAGAGGAAAAGGAGAGAGAGAGAGAGAAAAAAAAGAAAAGAAAAAAAGAGAGAACATCGGAACTTCTATTTACTACAAAAAAAAAACTTTCCCGATGAGTTGGCCTACATGCAGTACTAAAATTACAGTTCTGTCGAATTGTCTAAGCGAGAAAGAAAAAGAATCGCTAATATAAACTGATAGGGGCTATGTGACTTTCAAGGAGGAGATTATAAATTCTTGTGCTCATGACGGCCATTTCGATTTTTCTAAAATGTTAAAATGCACGAATTTCTGGGGCTAGCGCTCCGCCCCCTAAATGCCCTGCGCCTGGACCCCACCCTTATAAAGAAAGAAATGGTTCACAAGACAACCCTTTATTCTATAAAACTGTTCTTGGGAGAGAATTTGTGTGTGAGAGAGAGAGAGAAAAACAAAGATTTCCCAACAAAATTTACTGATAATAAATGTACGCCATGCACTCGCAAACAATATTTATGTATTATATTGCATGCGAAGTAAAACAACCACTGGCCAACACATCTCACTGGTTATACCCGTTCATCTGCATGGTGCGGTTTGGGAAAATAATTGAATGAAATTGTTTGGATCTCCAATCACCTTCAAATTTAATTTTTGTGGTCATTTCAAGAATTAATTTTCCATATGTTCTATAAAATGGGGCTCTCCGATAGCTAGAAAATCATTTCAAGGGGCAGTTTTCTTCATCAAGCGAACCCCTATACAACCAGACATCATGAAGACAATGATCTTCATCGCCCTCTTCTTCGTCGGTCTGGCTTCCGGCGCAATAGATGTTTCAGGAGGTAAAGTTGAACTTCTATTAAATATTTAAAATTTAAAAAATTGATTAGTTGTGTCTCATCTACCCTGCCTCCCTTTTCACTCGTTTGCCCAATCTGACTTTAAAAATTTTATAATATTTTTGGAACAGGAAAAGAAGCTAGGAATTCAGATGGTGTAATGAAACGGAAATCATTATTGTAGAGCAATTTCGATTTTCAGTCGCTGTACTTCAATGACATATAAGAGATTATTAAAGAAAATAAAAATAAAAGGTAAACAAACTTTGGTAGAAATAACACGGGGCCACTTTTCCTCCTAATTTTTGAAAATCCGGACAATTTTACTTGACACTCTTGGTTTGGTATTGATTTATTAATTTTTACCCATTTTTTTTTCTTTCGTGGAACTCACTTATTTCCTCTCCTCGTCATAATTGGCCTGCCATTTCTAATAAGATATCTTATTACAGAGAAAAAGATTGGGGTAAAATGCCGGGAATCATCATTTTCTTACTTTGTTCGTCTCTATTATCCATCACTGTGCATCCTTTTTCTTCAAAGACTGTTCAATATAAAAGTTATTATCCAATATCACCAGTCCCTATCTAGTAGTAGGCCTACCTGTCATTATTTTACCGCAGTTTTGCAGCGAATTTCGTCAAACCTTCATTTAAATTCGTCGCATACGTAATTACAGATATATATTTGATACTATTTTGCCGTTATTATAATATTAATAATAGTAGTAGTAGTATATTGTTTTTATCATTTTGTATTACCTTTATAATTGCTATCATTTTGTTCTTCTTATCCTTTTCATTATCATTATAATGTTATTTTATTATCATTATTATTATCATTATTATCATCATTATTATCATTATCATCGTCATGTTCATCACATTGTCACCTTTATTATTGTTACTTTAATGTATGTTGTTGTTAACTATATCATTATGCGCTGCCTGTTGAAACCTATTCACAGATACATGCATTGAAGATGATCCCTGCAAGTACTCCGTATGTCGGATGGCCCCTCGCGGCGGCACTACTTGCAGTGGGACCTGCGAAGGAGGGGTTGTATGGATGGACAATCGTGGCGATGTAATTGACTGTGGTAAGAAAGAGCTTTCTTTTGATATGCAAGCCGATAAATATAGTGGTCATTGTCCATCTGTATTGCATTATAATTGGCTTACCTCAGGGTTCCGTCTTATGACCAGTTGCGATTAATCTTAAAGGATAGTCGAGTTTTGGTATAGAGGGCTCTACACAAAATAATGTTTTAATTTGAAGAAGAAAAAAGGATATATATACTAATTCATTCATTACGGTAACCGTGTTGTTTTGAAAGTAGAGCTGAATAGTATAATCGGATTTAATCTAAGTTTCACACATTTTGGGGTCTTAATTAACCTTCATAGCAATTTTAGGTCGTCAAAGGGCACTGTAAAATGTATGTCATATATAAGAATAAGAGCAATAGCCATGCACTTTTAAGGCCTTTGCGGTCTAAAACAAGAACTCAACTGTCCCTTTAATTTAATTACGATTGATATCAATCGCCAATATGCACATAAAAGATAGGAGACTGCAAACTTGCGATTGATTAGAGGACTTGATTGAAATCAATCGCAACTATGCACATAAAAGATAGGAGACTGCAAATTTGCGATTGATTAGAGGACTTGGTTGATATCAAGCGCAACTATATACGAGATAGGAGATTGGAGGATCAATCGCAACTCTTTATAAGACGGGACCCAGGTTTGGTTGAAATACTGATGAGTATGTGCACAGGGGGAGTGTTTCACAAAGACTTAGAACGACTTTAATTAAGTTGGACTTAAATATGACAGGCCGTTTATGCCACTGTTTGCTCTCACAATAATGATCTTAAGATAATATGTTTTCGTTCAATAATGAATTATCCAAAAATCTAAATTCTGTAGATTTGTGACCATGATTTGTACGTCTCTTGAGAGACCAATTATATACCAGTCAAACAATGACATAAGCTGTCTGCCATATTGCCCATATATATTAGTAAAGTCCAACTTAAAGTCGATCTTATTCTTTGTGAAACAACTCCTAGGTCTCTCAGGCAGCGAAACATTTTTTCCCACCGGAAAATATTTTAGCTTGCCTACATTGTTTGGTGGGTGAGATTAGCTTTTGTTTCTTTCACTCGATCTCAACAACTTTTACTTTGAAAACAAAATATCCAATACTAATTATACAAATTATCTCTTTACCTATAGCTATATTACTGTATATCAGGTCTTCTTTCGCATACACAATACTTTATACAGAGAAGCACAAATCGTATCAGGTTTAGCCTGATACAGGTTTTCTAAACCAACTCATTATGAAAAGCAATTAATGATAGGCCTCCAAATATTGACATCATTTCACCTGGGTACTATACAGAGTGTATCTTTATAGATTCTTCTACAGTAGTATCACATAACAGCAAATGAATGTGAAACACAACTCACAACTCAATAAGACACACAAAAGTTGTCAACTACACATGTAATCAAGTTTCCTCTATGAGGTTTCAATCTAATGATGCATGTCAAATACATTATAATTCCACTCAGAACTTACCATATAGATGCTGCAGAAATACTTCGAAGTATAAAGTTCTACTCAGAGTTAGCTTCTCTGTCAAATCAAACCGCCTATAAGTCATGAGTGGATGCATGGTCTATGCTCATCCCTCTCAACCCAGTGGCGGATCCAGGGGGGGGGGCGAAACGGCCGCGGCCCCCCCTATTGGCGGTGCAAAAAAAAAGGAAGATAAAAAAGAGGAAAAAAAGAAGAGAAAAAAAGAAAGGAGAAGAGGAGAAAAAAAAGGAGAAGAGAAAAGAAAGGAGGAGAGAAAGGAAAAAAAGAAGAGAAAAGAAAAAAGAGAAAAGATAACGAAATTATTGAATAGAGGGGGGCCGGGCCGGCTGCATAAAATCTCGAGCCGCGGATTCAAAGTTAAACGTTAAGAACAGCCCCTGCGCTACAAAGGTCATCACTCTTAATATTTTGGGTGTCTTTTAAATAGAAGTTATATACTCAACCAGGGATGTGTCACAAGCCCTGACTCAACAGTCAAATTTTAAATTAACGGTAGGGCCGCTTCACAACTTTTATTTTGCCCTTCATTTGGATTTAGCTCATACCAACTCGCTTGTGCTTGTATTTGAACTCATGTTGGTAGTAATCATGGATAGGGACGGCAATCCTGGGCCCGATAGGGGGACACGTCTCCCAGAAAATTTAGAAATATAGCTAGAAAGAAATATAGCGGAAAGAACGTACATATTGGGCTCAGGGATTTTCTAGAATGCATAATTTAAGCATTCAACATTGCAAAATCTCGCTTGGTCGCTACGCCCCGGCCGGCCGCGGCCCTAGCCCGATAACACAAAACTATGACGCTCCCGGCCGTGATTTATCCATGGTTGGTGTAATAAATCTTTTTTCCATTTCATTTCTACTAACCTAATTGTGTGCCATCACAATCATGATTGTTTCATTTTCCCTTTAAAGGAGGCGCGTAGCCACGGGCGGTAGGGGCAATAAGATGACATAGGACGAAAAAGGAGCAGACAAAGAAACATTTTTGAAAATTCTGACAAGTCGAGAACGGTACAACGAATCGTCTTCTTTCTCTAATAATTTAATGAAATGTCAAAGCTTCCGCGCATCGCTCGAGAGGGGGGCAACTGAATTCAGACAAGGATTGGGAGTCGAGAATGGTAAAACGAATCGTCTTCTTTGTCTAATAGTTAATTGAAACGTCAGAAGTTTACGCGCTACGCGCGGGCCGGGAAAAACTGAGTTCAGACAAGGATTTTGAGTCGAGAATGGAACAACGAATCATCTTCTTTCACTAATAATTTAATGAAACGTCAAAGTTTCCGCGCTTCGCGCGGGAGGGGAAAAACTGAATTCAAACAAGGATTAAGAGACGACAATGGTACAACGATTCGTCTTCTTCCTCTAATAATTTAATGAACCGTCAAAGCTTACGCGCTACGCGCGGGAGGGGAAAAATTGAATTCAGACAAGGGGGGAGGGGAGGGGAACTCAATTCAGACAAGGATTAAGAGTCGAGAACGGTACAACGAATTGTCTTCTTTCTCTAATAATTTAATGAAACGTCAAAGCTTCCCGCTGGAGGGGGGGGGGAACTCATTTCAGACAAGGATAAAGAGTCGATGGCGGTCCAACGAATCGTATGCTTTCTCTAATAATTTAATGAAATGTTAAGCTTCCGCGCAAAGCGCAGGAGAGGGAAACTGAATTCAGACAAGGATTAAGAGTCGAGAATGAAACAACGAATCATCTTCTTTCTCTAATAATTTCATTAAACTATGAAAGGCCAAAGCTTCCGTGCTTCGCGCGGGAGGGTGGGGGGAGGTGGCTGAATTCAGTCAAGTTATAATAGTCGAGAATGGTACAACAAATCTTATTTCTCTAATAATTATTGAAAGGTCAAAGCTTCCGCGCTTTGCGCGGGCGGGAGGAAACTGAATTTAGACAAGGATCAAGAGTCGAGAACGGTACAACGAATCATCTTTTTTCTCTAATAATTTCAATTTAAACTATAAAAGGTGAAAGCTTCCGCGCTTTGCGCGGGAGGGGGGGGGGGATTGAGACAAGGAATACGAGTCGAGAATGGTACAACAAATCGTCTTCCTTCTCTAATAATTTAATAAAACGTCAAAGCTTCCGCGCTTCGCGCGGGAGGGAGAAACTGAATTCAGACAAGGATTAAGAGTCTAGAACGGTACAACGAATCATCTTTCTCTAATAATTTCAATTTAAACTATAAAAGGTCAAAGCTTCCGCGCTTTGCGCGGGAGGGGGAAAACTGAATTCAGACAAGGATTAAGAGTCTAGAACGGTACAACGAATAGTCTTCTTTCTCTAATAATTTAATGAAACGTCAAAGCTTCCGCGCTTCGCGCGGGAGGGGGAAAACTGAATTCAGACAAGGATTAAGAGTCTAGAACGGTACAACGAATAGTCTTCTTTCTCGATAATTTAATGAAACGTCAAAGCTTCCGCGCTTCGCGCGGGAGGGGGGAAACTGAATCCAGACAAGGAATATGAGTCGAGAATGGTACAACAAATTGTCTTCCTTCTCTAATAATTTAATGAAACGTCAAAGCTTCCGCGCTTCGCGCGGGAGGGAGAAACAGGATTCAGACAAGGATTAAGAGTCTAGAACGGTACAACGAATCATCTTTCTCTAATAATTTCAATTTAAAACTATAAAGGGTCAAAGCTTCCGCGCTTTGCGCGGGAGGGGGAAAACTGAATTCAGACAAGGAATACGAGTCGAGAATGGTACAACAAATCGTCTTCTTTCTCTAATAATTTAATGAAACGTCAAAGCTTCCGCGCTTCGCGCGGGAGGGAGAAACTGAATTCAGACAAGGATTAAGAGTCTAGAACGGTACAACGAATAGTCTTCTTTCTCAATAATTTAATGAAACGTCAAAGCTTCCGCGCTTCGCGCGGGAGGGGGAAAACTGAATTCAGACAAGGATTAAGAGTCTAGAACGGTACAACGAATAGTCTTCTTTCTCTAATAATTTAATGAAACGTCAAAGCTTCCGCGCTTCGCGCGGGAGGGGGAAAACTGAATTCAGACTGGGAATACGAGTCGAGAACGGTAAAACAAATCGTCTTCTTTCTCTAAATAATTAATGAAAGGTCAAAGCTTCCGCGCTTCGCGCGTAATGGGTAATGGGTAATTTCTCGTTTATTTTGGTGATAAATAACACTTTCACAATATTATAATCAAATTGTTGCTCGCTCGCTTCGCTCACTAGCCAAATTGTGAAACCAGAAAATTACTTTTTCGGGCAAGAGGCTATAGCCCCGCCCCCCCCCCCCCCCGATGAAAATGTCAAAAATTGTACCAGTATGGTGCTTCTAATATGACCTTGGAAAAACGGTCTGCGCAATTTTGAAATTTCCGGCCCCCCCCCCCCCCCCCTATTGGAAAATCCTGGATCCGCGCCTGTCAACCTGTGATGTGGCAAAAAATCCTTTCTCTCTATATTACCCTATACCCTGTTAGGGATCCCCTCAGAAGTACACTACAGGGATCTCCTTATTCGGAGACATAGATCCCTTCATTCAGGGACCTCCTCAACAAATAAAATTAAGAAACATTTCGACCTGTCACATTCTCCCATGTTAAAAAGTTGCTGTCTCAGCAACAAATATTAAGAAACATTTCGACCTGTCACATTATTATCATTATTATTATCATTATTGTCATCATCATCATTATGTTGTCTTAATCATTATTATCATAATAATTATTTATGATTGTTCTATTCCGTTATCACTTCCGTTAGATACATGCGGCTCTACTGAGACCGTGAGCTGTGCGGCGGACATGTGTGCGAACGCTTCGTGTCCGGGACGCGAAGATCCACCTCGGTGCAGAGTCTTCAACTGTGGCCATTGCGTCCCCGAGTTCTTCAATTTCGGGAGCAACGATCCGGTTTGCCTTGGTGCTTTGCAGGAGTAATAGTTTCCGTGTAGCGGTTGTGACCGCGGCGTTTTTTTCCAACTTCTTTCGTGATGACGTTAAGTGTAATACGCTTCACATTTCGGTACCTTATAGCACAAAGCAAAGTGCATGCACACGGGCAGGACCATTGTTGTGTGCAGCTGCCATTTGTTTGCATGTTTAAAAAAAAACGCGGCGGTTGCGGTGGTTTTACCGCGTCATATCTGAACAGGGTATATAATAAAGCCAGTTAAAGTTGATTCATGTAGTTTCCCGTCCGGACTGTGGGGGTGGGGATTCCACGTTATTTGCGATTTTCATATTTTTCTCTAGTTTTAGACCCTACATAAAAATACTATTGGATCAATTTCAACATGATCTTATACAAAATGTTTTAAAAATGCTATAATATTTTGATCTGTATATCCACTACAGAGGCTGAAAAAAACTTATATAAGGATGCATTATATTCATGCTTTTGGTCAATTCAATTGTCTAGATAGATTTCCTCAGATTGATTCATTTCAGAGAAGAAGAGAGACATTTTGAATGATAAAATATATCGAGGAGGTTTGGAATAAAAAAGAAAGAGCAAGAAGGGACCAGAAAGTGGCAGAAAATAGAAACGATATGTATTTTGATTTTATTTTATTCTATTTTCTTCTGCATTTATAATAAGTATACAGTTTTTCGATAAACAATGATAATATAAAGTACAATAAGTATTTTTCTGACAATGAATCATAAATAAGCAAATACATATAACAATTGTTATTTTTCAAAAACGAAATGATAAACTGTCATTAATACTAAATTTCCTCAACATCATAAAATTATTTGCGGAAGAAGGAATGTTATTGTAAGCAGATTGCTTGGTAATACGACAGCCCCGGACAAAACTCATGAAATAGATTAACAAATTTATTGAGAAGAACGGATAGGTAATTGAGAATACAGATTTTAATGATGGTGATATTGACAAGTTAGCCTTAGGCTACATGCACGTGACGATCCAGGATTTCAAAAAAAGGAAAATCATTAGACGGCATTGGCACATTTAAGAAAACAAAGCAATGGCACTGGGGTTTTGGGGGTAGCATCAGCAACATCAACAGACGCTACTTTTTCGGAGGGCGCCCTGTAGGTATGGGTGATTATGATGGGCCTGGTTTTAGTTTGCATTCGGTTTAAATCGTTATTTAGCACATGCATGTGACTTTGATTGATATCGCTAATATATCATAGTGAATATTGACATTTGACTCGCTATTACAACTATTATTATTTTGTTATCTCATTTGCTTTTTCATTCTGATTGATTCGTACGAAATCTGTTGTTAATTGAATTTTCTTCTTGTCTAAAACTTTGAAATTGGGTGGTGCAGAGTGTGTGTGAGAGACAGAGAGAGAGAGAGGGGGAAGACGAGGAGAGAGAGAGAGAGAGAGAGAGGGGGAAAAAAGAGAGAGAGAGAGAGAGGGGAAGAAGAGGAGGGGCAGGGGATAGAGGGAGACGAGGAGAGAAATAGGGGAACGTAGACTGAGAGGGAGAATGGGAAGGGGATAGAGCGAGACGGGGAGACAAAGAGAGAGAGAGAGAGAGAGAGAGAGAGAGAGAGAGAGTGAAGATTAAGAGGGGAGAGAAAACATAGAGGAAAAGATGAAAGAGGGAGAGAGAGAGAGAGAGAGAGAGAGAGTGAGATTGAAAGAGAGAGAGAGGGGATAGAAGAGGAGAGAATGGATAGGAGAATGAGATCAAAAGAGACATCCGGATTAGAGCTAGAGAGGGGTTATAGAATTAGAGCGGGAAAGGAGAAGGAGAAGGAGAGAGATGGAAGACTCGGGAAGTAGGGGGAACTCTTTTAGCTGAAGTTTGTCAGGTATGGAGAGAGAGAGACTGAGAGTGGAGAAGACTAAAGAGTACTAGTATGAGGTAGGCGAGGAGGAAATTAACTGAGGAGAGGAATATGGCTTCACTTTTGAGTTACAAGATAATACCGACTTCACTTGCACATCAACGTAACAATAATAATTATCACACAATGTGAACACATTAAAAACAAAACAATACGGCTATTAGTGATTAAGTATTCTTAAAACAGCGTAAAAACGATCTGCAATATACTCCGCCGCTGTTATGACTGTGGCAAGTATTACTACGCGATCCATTCCGATTGTGAGTGAGAGTAACTCTGCTGGATCGAAGAAAATAAACCACGTTAAGTGTCTCAACCCGCTTTCTTTTTTGAGGACGCCTGCATTTATTTATTTATTTTTCATTATGAAAAGCACGAAATGCATACAGCTAATATGATCTTTTTCGGATTTTTTTTTTTTTAAATATAAAACTTGCCAAGCGGCCAGTTTGAAAAAGGGCTTTCTCCTTCAAATTTTTTTCACAAAAAGGCAAGACGCTAAACATTCTTTTTGTTTATAGGCATTATGCCGTTGGTCGTTTTTCTGGAGGTTCATAATTCCGAATTACGAACCTCCCAAATAGACCGGATTACATTTACAGGCCTACATTATTCAAGACTGTACACTGGATCAGGCATAACGCTCCCAAAATCAGACTCTATATGAATTATGAAAAGATAAATATCTGATTCTCAATTGAAAGTTCATACTAGGGTTTTTTCCAACTATTGCATTGTATACAATGCAATAGGCCTATATGCCTACCTTGGGTCTAACGGTTTTCATTTTTTTTAATACATTGTACAAAGCAATCTGAAAACCTTAAGATGTAATGACTTTTTACATCTAATTTAATTGGATATGTTGTATCATTTGAGATCACTGATCTCTACGATTATTTTTTTTTTCCGAAGACGTCAGTAGTTGAGAATTCCTGATGGAAGGACCGCAACCCGTCATGGCCGGATATGAGATAGGGTAAATTGTGTCCGGCCATGACGGGTTGCGTAGGTCATAGGAAACCTAGGAAATCTGTTTAGGTTAGAGGAATGTTGCTTAATTTTTAATTTGAATTTAGTATTAAACATCATTTACATAATGTACATCATTAATTCATTTAAAAAGCATCGTTTAACAATGTTAAATCTGAGATGCACGGCCCTACGTGTTATCAGTGTTTGTGGTATGCCATGGTGTAATATTGAAGCCCTAAAAAAATAGCGCTTCAAAATGATCAAGAAGTGCCTCAAAAAAGTAAAAAAATCTTCCAGTGACCGGTTGAACCATACTCGTTTTCCCACTATAGTGTTATGAAAACCGTTAGGAAGACGCAATGGTTTCGATTTCCAATCATAAATATCTTGATAATCAGACAGGCGATCGGCTTGTCAAAGTCATGGGACTCCTGACTGACCTAAAAGGCACAACATGAGAATATGTAAAAGTAACAACATAATGCTTCTGATTTGATTATGTTACAGAGTAGCTGACTGTTTGGTGTTTAATGGTAGCATGTTAACAGGTCTGATGAGCTTGGGATATTGTTCGTTTTTTTTGGGGGGGGGGAGGCGGATTCGAAAGGGTTTGGTTCTTGGCCATACACAATTTCTTGATTATCCTTCTTCTTTTTCTTCTTCTTCTTCTTCTTCTTCTACCGTTCTTCTTCTTCTTTTTCTTCTTCTTCTTCTTCTTCTTCTTCTTCTTCTTCTTCTTCTTCTTCTTCATCCTTTTTCTTTTTCTTCTTCTTTTTCTTCCCTTTCTTCTTCTTCTTTTTGCTCAATCCTTCTCCTTCTTATTCTTCCTTTTCTTCTTATTTTTCCTTTTCTTCTTCTGCTTCTTATTTTCCTTTTTCTTCTTCTTATATCGAAAGGTCCATTAATGCCTTTAAATATCAAGTAACATTGACCCACAATACCTAGCAACGGTACATAATCGAGAATGTTTCTATAACCAAACACATCATTGTTTTAACCACAAAAGTGGATTATTAACATCCGGATCCTTCTGTTTTACCAAGGATAGGAAAATGCATGTTGTAAATTAATAGCAAATCGAAAGTTCCATTAATAGCATTATATCTTGAAATAGCAAGTAACATTGACCCACAATACCTATAGCAACGGTACATATGGAGAATGTTTCTATAACCAAACACACATCATCATTTTAACCAAACAAGCTGATCCTTTTTATCCTGGTCCTATTGTTTTATCAAGGATAGTAAAATGAATGTTAATTAGCAAATCGAAAGCTCTTTGTATCTTTAAAATAATAACAAGTGACATTATGCCAAGTGTACTATAGCAACTTAGCAAAGGTAAACATGCTTTGAAGGTTTTTTTAAACAGACACATCATTTCAATTGTACAAGTCATTAATAGACGTTTTCCTCCTGCACTCTGACAGTTCCTTCCTTCTTTTTTTTTACAGTTAAATTATCATGATGAAATACATGATGAAAACAGTTGACGTAAGTGATCACGTGACACTACGTCATCAAGAGACAAACGGGAATTCCCCATTGTTAATTGGTAGTATATGTATTCGAGCCCAATTTAAGGGCTTTATCCAAAACACAATCACAATTACTTGGTTGGTGTCTACAGAAGCAATATGAAAATCCATCATTTCTCATCGAAATGTATAATGGGGAAGGTGGAACACGATACACTTTGAAACTCGATGGAACATGTTCAAATTACGCTCTGACAAGGAACAGAAAGTAAATAGAGGTCTATGTTTTCAGACTATTTAAGCCGAGGTAGATTCGACGTCGCCCACGTCGCCTTAAACTAAAACAACATGCAATGCCTGGGCTAGGCTGTAATACAAGATAACAACAGTGGCATTCAGTCATCGTTCACGTTGGTTCATTCATCCGAAGATTTTATTAAGAAAAAAGTTATCTGTGACTCAAGTACCGACTATCCATATTGTTTTCTGATCCTCAGACCAAGCCACCAAGTAGACTAAACGAAACTAGCCGAAGCTCGCGGAGCCAAACACTGGATCTACTGTCAAAACCGGGCCGTGCACCGCTGACCGTGCAACGTGCAGTTTTCTCTAGCTAAGGTCGGGGAGTTCCAGCTAGTGCAGCGACATGCGCCAGGCCAGCGTGTGATCTTGGAGTTGGAGAGTCGCCATACGCGGGCCATCGCAATTCCTACAGTATGATGCTGAATTCAGCGTGAAATGCCATTGCACTGTGTTAACAGACTTCGTCAGCCATGCCTGTAATGCATGTATGTCATCCTTCTTATATTTCATAAGAAAACTATTTTTGTTGTTGACTGATTTAGACTCGAGTAACAACGTTCATGATGTTGTAGCACACATGCAATCTCTTCCCTCCACAAATAGCAGTAACCATTACCATGGATGGAAGAATCCTGGATCGATGAACGGGCTTAGACCTACAACATCGTGTATTAGAGTAAAGTAGGTAGGTCAATACACATAATTAGCATTGACTCTCTATGCTTTGCTGGAGTGATCTAGACTAAGTTTAGTTAGACTGAAAGATTCAAAATAACAGTCTTGATCTGTGAGTTTTATAATGTTGACGGTTGTTCCTCTACCACCTCTATGGTTGACAAATGTCAGTTTTATTAAAGAACGATCCATATACCAGACGGTTATTTCTGTCTAATGTATGGTAAATAGTTTACACAGATGTTGTGTGTCCATGGACAGTTGATTTAAAACAGCAATTTGTAGAAAGTTGAAGAATTTATAAAAGTGATATTTCAGAAATCTTCGAAAACTTATGTTGGACATTATTATAAAATGAAAGGGCAATATTCATGATGTTTATAGCGCTATAATTTGATTTATATTTTCTTTTATTCTGAAGGCAACAGACAAGGCTAGTTTGTTAAGTGTTCGGCCGCCCATCCCTGACTCCTTCAAGGCATCATACAACAAAATATGTGCAGGAAAAACACTCATGGCCAAGGAATCACCTCCAGCTGTTTGTGGTAATGTAATCCTTATATATTTGTTTATTTTTGTTGTTCTGTTGTAATCTTTACTTTACTTAAAGACCGTTGATACTACTGGGCCACAGCGAGGTCACTGACAGGTGGCTATCTCATTAACTCAGCTCTCAACTAACATAAGAAAAAGAGGATCATGGGGATCAACAGGCACCGATTGGGGAATTTTCTATATAGAGGGAGCAAGTAGCTACAAGTAGGACAGTGGGGCTTTAAGTCCAGTGATGCTAAATGTGTGCAAAGTTGCAAAAATCAGCTTATAGATTAGCTTCAGTCTCTGATATCGACGATTGTTCCACTGAGATTACATTTGGCTCTTCTGACCGCCTCTATAATGTTGACAAATGTCTGTTTTATTAAAGAATCACCCATACCAAACGGTTATTTCTGTCTACTTTCAAGGCTTGATCTTTCAAAGACAATTTTGAGTCCACTAGAATAAATAATAATAATGGTAATAAAAACGTTACTTATAAAGCACTTACCACCAAAGTCTCTAAGCACTATAACAAACAAAATAGACTGATAAACAATTACATATTGAAAAAACAAAAAGTGCAAATAAAACTACAAATTACAATACATACCTGTATGGAATACTCATCAAAGTGAACCGACTAGAGTTAGTTAATCATCGAGAGCAATTTTGAATAAATGTGTCTTAAGACTAGATTAGAATTGGTTAACAGTTTGACAGTTTTTGACAGTTAATGGTAGTCTGTTACAAAGTTCAGCAGAAGCCTTGCAAAAAGAGTGATTACCATAAGAAAGAGTTGGCACAGAAGTAGACCCCCTAAAGCTTTCTCAGCATGGACATCATAAAGAGCTTCTATGCCTGATTCTATCTTCATGTAATAGCAAAAGTAATTCCAGGATTCAGAACTAATCAGTTAGTTATTAAACTGCCTTAATAAACAAAGTCGAATTCAACGACTATTTTTAGCTTAAACCTACAAACTATTTTCTGTTTGATTATAAGCGGAGGGCCAAAATCAGAAAAGAGAGGTTTGCCTGCCACTACCACATAAACTAAGCACACCTTGTTTATTTGAAAGATTTTATCATAATACAAAATATTTCAGAGGTCTTTAAAAAAAAATTGTTGCAAACACCCCTAAATCGGAGGGGGCGTCCTTTTGACGGAAAAAGGTAATTTGTTAATAATATTTTAAGGGAACCTTGAGCCACCATAAGTTTGGTGTCATATGAAAGTAAATTGAATTATCTACATTTTTATACCAATTTTAACAAATTTGGGATTAATCAACATCGCAAAAAAACATGATTTTTGTGATTTTTTTTCTTCAGAATATTGAATTTGATCAAAAACCATTATTTTCCATATATCAAAATCGGGGTGGTGCATTTTTTTCGTAACTTTTTAAGAATTTGCCCACGTACAAGGAAAATATGCTGTGTAAAAGAGAGGTTTTTATGTCTTTTCAATAACAAATTATAGCAACCCAAAGTTATTGATTTGATTTCCACAAAAACGGCAATTTCTCATCATTTTGATGATCCCAGAACCTTGCAGTACACACCAATACATACATGTACAGTATATGCTAGATGATCAACCCTTCCTGATCGATTCTGCGACGTTTCTTTCACAATGCAATCGCATGACCAGAACTCAAATGGAGAATGTGAGTTTATGTAGTTTAAGCTTCTAACAACCACTCGTTTGTACTTTATTTTTTATTATTTACACAATTTCTTGCTGTCTGCTGCCTCGAGATCACTGGAGCAAAGAAATATAACAATGTATAGCAAGATTACCTGTTCAGTAAAGGATTAAATCCTATTTATCCAGATGGATAACTCAATAATGTTGGGATCATTTCATTGAATGTTGTGTCCAGTATTAAGGGTGTGTCTGCTATTACTGAATGAGATGGAATGTTATTAAAATCGGAGGGCTTTCTGTGCTCTTTGAAAAGAGCACAAAATGGGGGCAGTGCAATTTAAAATTAATTTTCAAGGGATGGATTAGAGTTTTTCACGCTCACGATGGCTATCTAGGGGCCCAGGGCGGACCCCTGGCCCCAGTAGGAAAGAGTTTAAGCTTCTAACAACCACTCATGTGGACTTTGTTTTTATCATTTACACAATTTCTTTCTGTCTGCTGCCTCGTGATCACTGGAGCGAAGAAAGGACAACCCGTTGTTGTATGAAATTGTCCCTAAGAGAGAGTGTGAGTTTCCATTGCTCAAGACGGTTATCTAATAGGTTCTGAATTGCTAAAACTCGAGAGGGTCCTAGGGTTCTGCCATGTTGTATGGATCCATTAGAAGGCAAAAAAAGCCCACTGAATAATTTATATACATATCAAGGTATATAGAACTAACATTTATAGAGGTGGTCAGTAGACCAGACATAGTCTCAGTGAAACAACCATCGATATCTGAGACTGAATCGAAGCTTTCGGTCTAGGAATCAGCCAATCCGGTTTCTTATAATCCTCTAGACCACAACATCGCCACATTCAACATTCTTGATCAGTCTTGCCTGTTTGTTCCTTTCTTCAAATGTACAGAGACCGTTACCCCGATGTCATCTCTGGAGGTATCATCAACCGCAGGTCCGCTCGAAGTGACCGATGACCTCATCTACAGTCTGGCCGCTGACGTGGAGACCGTTGACCACCTGGACGCCCTGGGGATCGCTCTTGGCTTTGACCAAGCGGCCAGGACTAGATTCCACTCCACCAATAATCTATCAGGGAGTGTGGGCTGCAGAGGGACGCGGGATATGTTAACAGAATGGAGACAACGCACTCCTGGAGCTGACAAGCCTAAACTGAAGAGGGTGCTACAAAAAGCAAGACTGATCGAGCTCTCTGAGAAGTACTTACCAGGTCAGTTAATTCAACAATTTCTCATCAAACACTATGATAATAATAGTGGGTTCTTGTATCGTGCTCATGTCTTGACACTCCTGGCGCTCCAAAAATATTACCCTGGCTTTATCATGGCTGCCATTACGGCGCTCTAGCACTTCAATGAATTAATTCCTGTCAAAAATGATGAAAATGGCCTATTGTTTGTAAAGGAGATAATGTGGGGTAGACCACGACAAATCCGTTTTTATTTCTGACTATCCCCTCTGCATTTGCTTTTGTTCTTTGAATATGTTTACATGAACTTCTTTCTATAACATTCCACTTATTTACTGAACACGGTATGTATTTTATTGGGAATGTCAATACTTTTATATACAGGGTTTATATGATTTGCATTTGTGGAATAAAATTGCAATGGAATTGAAGATTGAAAATGAAGATTTTTTTTTTTTAGTCATACACAAACTAGACTTTAACACAAATTATATCATTTCGCTATTTATAAAAAGAGTTCCAGTGAAAAAAAAATTAAAAAATTGTTTCATAGCTTACTAAAATGGTGATGATATATTTACATTTCTCATTATTTTCAATCAGCTACCGACGAAAATACTTTGAAGGTGGAAAAACTGCGAAGGAAACTGAAGAATCGCTACAAACAAGAACTATGTCATCTGCCTTTACGGCCTTGGGACAAAGACTCTTCTCTAAGCTTCAAGAGAAACTTTGTAGATGTAGACCTGTACGAACAAGGACAGCACTGCAAGTGTCCGGAAGACAACGGGACACTCAACGATCTTCTGAAGATGGCCTGTAACGTCCAAGACCATCATTACCGCTTTGCCATACTAGCCAACGCAGGATGTGGAAAGTCGATGCTAGCAGCTAAAATAGCCTACGACTGGTCCCATGAATTAGAGGGCTCTCCATTGCGGGACGTTCTGCTCTTGTTTGTGATAAAGTTGCGACTTCTGCAGGAAGGTACAGCTCTAGAGGATGCCATCATGTCCCAATTGTTGGTGGGAGACGAGGAGAAGTATTCAGCTGGAGTTCTGAAGACGTTCATCGAGGAGAACCAGAGCAGGTGTATGCTGGTCTTTGATGGCTGCGATGAGTACATCGCTAACATCCTGGCCAAGGACATCAAGAGCGACGTTGTTTCCGTCCTCCGGAATCACTGCCTTCAAGAGTGTCCAACAGTTATCACATCCCGGTTTCGCCACCAGAGAAGCTTCACGAAGGCAAGTCAGTCCTACGTGAAGATGGAGCTGCGTGGCTTCACGCTGGATAACGCCAAACGGTATATCCGAGGATTCTTCCATGATCAGAGGGAATCTGGAGAGAAACTGAGGCAGTTCCTAGACAGTAGCCATGTGGTATGCCAGCTGGTGCAGATACCGCTCTTCTGCGTCATGGTGTGTGACCTTTGGCAGCAGGATGCTCTTGAGGATGTCCAAACCCAGACAGGTCTTCTCAACCAGGTCATCCAGTTTCTCTGGCACCACTGGATATCAAAGAAGGAGAGCAGTGAGGACGAAGAGAGTTCCTACAGCAGTGATGAAGCGGAATCAGCATATGCCAGTGACGATGAAGCATCCCACAGTGATGATGAAGCATCTCAAGATGAGCTTCAGCCACTGCTCTTGAAGCTAGGCAAGATGGTCCTGGACCTCCACCTTAAGGACAACAAGAGGACAGTCTTCTCCGAGAAGGACTTCAAGTGTGTGCGTGCTGAACTAAAGGAAGCCTGTCGAATGGGACTCATGTCGCAACGAACGGTGACGGAGACAAGAATGAGGATGGGCAAGAAAGCAGAGAGGACAGAGATACAGTTCTACCACAAACTGGCTCAGGAGCACATCGCCAGCAGCTACCTGGTATCTCTCCCGCCTGAAACGCTGGAAGAGACACTATCCAAGATCAAGGACTACAAAGGCATACACATGTATGAGAACCTCCTGCGTTTTACATGCGGGTTAGGTGCAGTGTCCTGCGCACAGGTTCTGCAGCACCTCCTAGGCCAACTGTGGGTGGACCAACCCCTCCCGCCGAACAAGAACGCAACCTTCCGCTTGGCTCTGGACTTCTTGAACGAATGTCCTGAGGTCAGTGATGCCATCAAGGTTCACCTAGAGACAATGTTCCAGGAGAAGTACCTATGTCTGTATGCTGCTACTCCAAGTGCGATACAAGGACTCCAGAAGCTTCCCCAGAGCATTAAGAACAAGGTAAATTTTTATGTCGGTGTAACTATACACATACCCTACCATGTATCCATCCAGGTAAGGATTGTTAAGATATAAAGCAGCACACCCCCTCGAAAAAAAACCTGCATTTCATTAGTGTTCAGATATAGCGCATCGAACCATGCCACTCATGGTAGTGGGATACGCAGTTAGTGTCAAATTTAGTTTATTTACGCTTAATTGTAAGGCATTAAAGATAAACTTTAGTACTGGTAATGCCATATTGCATTGTGAAAGAAAAGGTGTGGAAAGGATCAGAAACAGTTGATCATATAGCATGTAAGTATTGGTGTGCACTGCAAGGTTCTGGAGTCATCAAAATCATAATAAATTTGACCGAGTCTTGGTAAATTAACAACCACTGTACACAGAAAGCTATATATATGGGACAAAACACATGGTGTCGGGGCTAGTATACTTGATTTCCTTGTCTTTCAATGCTCATTACTCAGCCAGTATACATTTTCTTCCAAAATTGTTTGGCACATGTCATTTATTTGTAATCTTGAACATTCAGTGTAAGTTTCGTTTGATTCTGTGAGAATTCATTTTCTTTTTTTTTACCAGAACTGGAGTTTATCTTTAATTTCATCTAGCAGAACCCCCCCCCCCCCCCCCCCCCCATTTTAATACACTGGAAGCAGATGAAGCCATAAAACATAGCTACGTGATACGGTCACAAAATCATCAACAAATCGCATGTTTAATAAGATTGTGAATGGATTTTTTTTGTTTTTTCCCATACCTGAAATTCCAGTATTTAGTCCGATGGTATCCAACATTAGAGCATTCCTGATTCTTGCAATATCCACAGACACTCCTAGTAACCTTGGCACTTTCTTCTTTTTTTCTCTCGCTGTTCAGATCAGAATGATGAGATTCCAGTCGTCAGAAATGTCGGAGAGCAGTTGTCTGGAGTTCATCAAAGTCCTCCCGTCGTTCCGTGAGTTACAGCACTTAGGTCTGCGTGGTGTGAATGCCTCTGAGCCCTCACTTGTATCTATCGTGGAGTCAGCCAGGAGAGGGATGAAGGTCAAGGGTGTGCTGTAAGTATAGTCCCATCCACTCTCATTCGTGTCAGAAAATCTATCATATCAGGGGAGTGTTTCACAAAGACTAAGATAAACTTTAAGTTGGATTTAACTATGGCCGGCCGTTTATGCCACTGTTCAGTTGCTCCCATCCATTATGATCTTCTTTAGATGATATTTTCTCCTTCAATTTAATTTTTTTTAAATATAAATTCTGTAGATTTTTGACCATGATTTGTCCGTCCCTTGAAACAGTCATCTGCCTGGGTTGGATTCGAACCCGAGATTTTTGGTTCGACAGGCAGACGCTTTACCGACTGAACCAATTCGCCTACTCAAATGGCACCAAGCGATAAACGGTATGCTTGGGCGGAATATTCATCAGTTCAGCATGGCTTTAATAGAAATATGTAGCCCATTTAAACTTGAATTAGATGTAGCATGTCATTTGGCGTGAACTGAACTAACTCCATTTTCTTCATTTTGTCTTGCTGTTCCTTCAGATTCAGGTTCTGCTGCACAAGTAAAGGTGGCGCATTGTCCAAGTACCTTGAGGAGAATAATGTAGCCGAGAGCTCACCAAACAGAATGAGAGTCTTGGTGCACAATGTAAGTGATAATATGAACATCATAATCTCCTTTAATGCCCCACTGCACTACTTAAAGCTACTTGCGCCCTTTATATAGCAAACAATGCCTAATTGGTGACCATTGGTCCCCAATGATCCTCTTTTTCTTAGGTTAATTGAGAGCTTATTTGTTGAGATAACCACCTGTCACGGACCATGCAGGGAGGTCTAATCCCTCCTGGCCAAACTAGTGTGGTGGGGCTTTAATAGACAACAAGTCGAATTTTGGGCCCTGTTTCAGAAAAACTTCTTATCAATAACAAGTTACAATAACTGTTACAAGCTACTGAAATCGTGGCATTTAATTTGGCTGAGAGCAAATATGTCTTAGAAAATTAGCTTTTGTTTAATATTGATAGCAAGTTTTATGAAACAGGGCCCGTATTCAATTCAACACTTAAAATTTAAGCTTTTTACTTAGTATTTGGCTTAGAAAAAATACTTAGCCAACTTTGGTATTCAATTCACACTTTTGGCTAAGTATTTTACTCTAAATCTAAGCCTTGATTGGCAGGCATATGGTTTTCTTACGCAGTATCATAACCTGCGCACAATTATATCAGCGCGCATTTATTGCAATGCATCAATTGCGCATTACATTTGATTGACCGTGTGACGTCACAATGCTTTTCAGTAAGCATTTTGCTTAGATATTGTCTTACGTAAGTATAAGTCTAAAATGCGATTTGAATACGAGATAAGTAAATTGCTTAATTTCGCCATTTACTTAGTAAATTTCTTACTTGTGCTAAGTATTGAATTGAATACCGGCCCAGGGCCCTAGTGTAGCCATGAGTAAGTTGAAAAGGTATCCAGAACACAAGCACATTGCAATGATAGAAAGAAATAATCTTTGAAAACCCAAGACCAACATTTATGTTGAGCCGTATTATTTTTTTTTAGATTTCCAGAAGCATGTACCAATTAGCTTGGCATGCCAGTGGCTTTGCCCACCATCATTATATTAAAGATAAGCTTAAGTTCCGGTAATGATGGAAAAAAAATTCTCAAAGAATCCAACAAAACTTACACTAAATTTTCAAGGTTACAAATGTATAGGGTGTGAGTAAAGAGCATAGAAATCAAGGTATGTAGGCTTAATATCAGGTGCTTAACACAGGTCACCATGTACAAATGAGATTTCTGTTTTTTTATTGAAGATGATTTCCAGCAAGTTTTTGTGAGGTTCTTTTTATTTTACTGGTTCAAACAATCAATCTACTGCAGAATAAACAATCCAGAATGAATTATAGCCATGTTCTCTGGACATACGATGCCCATACCCGGAGCTCAAGATTACCTTTAAATCCCCACTGCACTACTACTTGCGCCCTCTATATAGCAAACAATGCCTAATCTGTGCCTGTTGGTCCCCTTTTTCTCATGTTACTTGAGAGCTGATTTGATGAGAGAACCACCTGTCACAGGCTGTCAGTGACCATGCAGGGAGATCTAATCTCTTTTGGCCAAACTAGTGCAGACAGGCTTAAAGTCAGCAGTTTGCCTCTTACAAAGGGTTACTGACTTGATGACACTCCCTCCCTCCACTTCTTCTTGTATCTAGCATCCTCCTCATTTAGACCAACCTGACTGCTTTCTTTCTTCACCATGAGATCGTCAGCCTTCCCTCTTATGCCATCCATTTTCAGATCCCAAGCTTGTTTCCCAGGTTCATCATCTTCCCTCTCAACACATGACCCATCCATCTCAATCCACTTGTCCTTGACTTCCACCACTGTTTCTTCCAGACCCAACCTATCCATGAGCTCACTTGTGTTCTCTCTATCAGACAGTTTCACACCACACATCTTTCATATCATGGCTCTTTCCGTTCTCAAGATACCATATGTTTTTAAAAAATCCTCGCTCTGCAGCACTACTTAAAGGGAGTCACTCGTCAGTTTTCATGTGCAGAAGGCCATAATTCGCTGACACCAGACTTGGTGGATAAAAATCATTAACGTGTGTACAGGTATAAGGTCTGCACACAGCATACCCGTAGGCCATTCGAGAAATACCCCCTCGTCTCTCGGAGATCTCCGGGTGAGGGAAAAGTGAGATAATGACTTTACCTTGTGGAGGAATGGGTGGAGAACGTAGTACGTTACATAAAAAAAACTGAAGGTTAATTCTGGTGATTGACAGCACCTCTTATTGGGTAAACGCTGAACGGTGTTGAATTTCCCATGAGAGCTAACTACTGAGTGTCTGTAAAACAAGTTTTGTCATAGTGTCATCTTATTCTGCGTATTTCTGAGAATTGTGTTCATTTCTCATTGCAGGAAAATGAGTCTGATGGAACATTTTACGTTCCCCGCACTACTTGAATGCCTAGGAGCTCCTCATCGATGGTTCTCTGGTATCTGGACCCCTTGTGCAGATCGGATGAACGCAATACAGGGCTTCATCAGCAAGAGGCCACCGTCTGAAGATATCAAAACAAAGATGCTCAACGAATATTAGGCAAGATGCATTCCTGAAGAGGTAGTCACTGCTACCACGGTGAATGCCTTTTAAGCCAGACTGGATCGAGTATGGAAGGACAAGCGTTTCTGCTCCCCATATAAGTAGATTACCTGACACAGAACTGAGCCAGGCAAACTGACCAAGATGAAGACACCCAACTACGAGAAGGAAGAAAATGAAATTGAACTGGAAGCCAGACTGCTGAGAACACAGCATTCTTCCAGAATCTCGGGTAAAGGTAAAGGTGAAGTGAGGCTCAAGGCCCCAAAGACAATTGCAAAGGCTTTCAACAAAGCCCACTCCAGGTTCTGTATTCAATAATTAAATTATGTCAGTAATTTTTCAACAGGCCTATGGGAGTGAAACAGCCATGCAATTGGCTTGGCTAAGTAAAATGACAAAAAGAAAACCTTGGAACACTGCCACAGTAACACAAGAGGATTGGCTATTGTGCCATGCAGACATGAAGACTTCACAAGAACCCATTGTTATACATCATAAAGAAATGGATACTTGTATTGTAAATTTGTTTTTCTTCAAACATTTTGATTTTGATTGCATTTCATGGTAGGTAACTTAGGGAAATGTAGTGTCACCAAAAGACGCGTCCGTCAAGCAAAATGCATACTGGTAATAGTTACGGTAGTAATGTTTGTTAATTAAAGGTTCTTTTGTCACATATCTGCATTAAAGTTTATCTAACATTAAGAGTCATCGAGATGGTACATGCATTTACCAGCTCTATATCCTAACGATGTGTTTCTACGTCCTACCTCCGAGTGATACAAATATGATTTTTAATAATTATGCATTTTGCTTTCCAGACGCTTCTTTTCGTGTCACTACACCTCACAAGCTACCTTACATGTAACTCGCATTAAAACTTCCAATTTGTTTCCCTCTTTTGTAAATCAAACTATACCTTTATTTTTAATTTTTCAGGTATTCATTTTTTAAATCTATCTAAATATCGTGTAATGAAATGTTGCTCGATTGTTTATCAATTTTGCAGAGTATACATTCCATGTTTGTGCAATATACATGTAAATATAGTTTGTGCTAGCTTTTTTAAAAGCTCTATTTATATAGAATGTAATGTCAGGTCTGCTTTTTAGACTAGTTTGTAGTGTGCTCATTTGCAATTGCTTATAATGGGTGGTATTCTCGAATGCAGACTAACTTTAGTCCATTGTTTAATCCACTAAGTATGGAATGCCAAGTGTCCATATGAATATGTTTTTGAATAATTTAATGTGTCACTAAATTAAAATAAAATGTAATAACATAATTAATAAACAACAATATAACTGTGATATAATTATGTTATCATGGTAATTTAGGGACGTATCAAATTATTCAAAAATATATTCATATGGACACTTGGCATTCCATACTTGGTTGGTGGATGAAACCATGGACTAAAGTTAGTCTGCTTTCGAGAATACCACCCAATATCAAGCGATCAAATTAACAGGGTTGCCTTTTTAAGGACGTTAAACAGTAATTTTTGTGTGCACCTTAGCTGGGCAGGGCCAGCTGATTATCTCTGGAGTTCCTGGTATATAAGATCAGCCTCCACTCCGCAGCTAAGATCCCCACAAATATAACTGCGTAATGTAATTAAAGTATTTTAAAGTTATGCATTTGTAGTTGCTTATACAAAATGACTGTCAAATTTATAGGGCTGCCTTTTTAAAGAAGTTAAAGATGTGCTTTGTTGGTGCTAGTAAAATGAGTCAATTTAACAGGGCAGCTTTTATATATTTCATGCTCCTTCATTATGTAACTCCTTATAGAATAATTTGGAATTATTGGTTGTTCTTAAAGTTACAACATTAATGTCATATGACATTTCCTTTCTTCATTTTAAATGTATTTATAACCAAATTGGAAACATTCCATCTTAGTCATTCCTGAAACTGTTTATCTATTTAATTCTTAATACAATTTTGTAATCACTTATCAGTACTATATACAAATGTTTCGATTAGGAAGTCCAAGATATTTTATATTTTTTTACTTTAAGATTTAACATTAACATTTAACATTAACATTTGTTTTACTATACATGTCATAGTAACGATGATACATGTTTCTTATAAAGTACTTTACCATTAACTGACCAAAGTGCTAACAATATTATCTTTAGTAACCCAGTCACTAGATTTCTTTACTATTATGTCCATTACAGCGCACATTCTCCACTCACTGGGGAGCATTCCAGCTAGTCGCATTTTAACCCAATGATACTATCAATTGGACAGACCTACTATTACCAACATCAATTTATGTATGTGCCAATTTTTTCAAATAATTTAGAATATATGTTAATCTATTTATTTCTCATAATTTGGTGGAACCGTCTTTCAAATACATTGTCTTTGTGTATTGATGCAATATTCATGCAAGATTTTGTTTATATAACATTCTTTATATATTGGTTATATTATTTTGTTATTTATTTGAACATGATATCACTTTGTATGGATAATACATTTTGTTTGTATATACATATATGAAGAGTTCGTGCACGCATGCTGATCAGACGTTGCAGCAAATCGCCTTCAACTGTATTTGAAACCGATGGTCAGTGCATGTTTACTCATGCGTGTCATGCTGCTGCTCAGTGATTGGTCATTCCCCAGAGCAGGCCATCGTTTTCAGGGATGAAGCAAGGGGGTCTGCTCGCTATTCATAAGGGTCATCATTCATAATTGAAGAAGAGGGCTTGTATTTATGGGGCTCGATATTCATAATACGAGAAGAGGGTTGCTATTCATAATATGCGAAGGTTGAAGATGAATAGTGACCCTGATTTTGTATTACGAATAGCAGTCCTTAAATGTCCCTCAATGTGAATATAAATAGCGACCCTCATCTCAAATTATGAATAGCGGTCCTTATGAATAGTGACCCCCTTTGCATTTTATAAATAGCGGTCCTTCACATACTCTGTATAGGAAGTTACACATTATGAATAGTGGTCCTTATGACTAGCAAGGTTACCCCAAAGCAAGTTAGTTATGGAACTGAACTGAAATTAATTTACCAAGTTTTAGAACCACTCTCTTTGGAGGCCAGTACATTTTCTCACTTTAAGAACTTTAACTTTTTGGATGCGCCAATATATGTCCATCTCTCGCAATACAGCCAGATTTGATAAAAATTGGATGTAGCACGTTTTGAAATGGAACTTTCACACCATATATGATTTTGTACTTTTCAGTTAAATGTTAGAAAAGTATTTCTTTTTAGGGACGTACTATGTACACGTCCATCTACCATATGTGTGTACCCCCCTAATGCAAAATCATGAAAGTTTGTGTTATTATGTCTAATTTTCCTTGTATTGAAAATACTGCAGTGAGGAACATTATACGTTTATGCCTTTCATGTTCAAGATGTGCCATTTCGTGCAAAAGGAATTCCACAAAATTGTTGATATGTACAGCACAAAGTTCACAGGCTGAAAATGAATATGTGTACGTTCAAGCAAGTGCAAATGACATTTGAATTTTTTGATTATCTGGGGGGTGTTTCACAAAGATCCTAAGTTGAACTTATCTCTAAGTTGGACTTAAAAATTATGGAAAGCCATTAGCATCTTTGAAAATAAATTGTAAAAGTTATTTTGAAAGGCATTAATTGTTTATTCAAATCATTCATATTTTCTATCATCAAGGAGATTTCATGTTCTGGATGTGGAATTTATAAAAAGTCTAAAATACTTGAATTTCTGCTTTTGAATATATTTCATTTTAAGACTCCAATGGCTGTCCATAATTTTTAAGTTCAACTTAGAGTTAAGTTCTACTTAGGATCTTTGTGAAACACCCCCCTGGGCCTACATTTGGAGGAAAAAAACTTCCTGATTAAGCTAGTCGTCAACTAATTACATAGGCTATACCTGTAGTATAGACAGTGAAACCTGTCTCTCAAAACCACCAAAGAGAGACAAGAAAAACAGGCAGGTGGCCTTCATGTATAGGTTCCTTTTGTACATGTTTTAATGAGAAACCTTTTTCAAGGGAAATAAAATATGTGGTCTTTGTAGACAGGTGGTCACTAAAGCAGGTTTGACTGTAGTTGGTCGACAAATATAGGATTAGTAAAATTTTATATAATATGAGCCCAGCTTTGCCTGAATTATTTTTGTAGCCTATTCTTGAATATCTTCAGGTAAGGATGAATTCAAAGTCTATATTATTTTGAACGTTTTCCAACTTGCACAAATTTAATTTGTTGTTTTATATCTTCTGGCCAGCATATTTTTTGGCAAATGAGATGGATATGACTAAGTGCAAATGTAAAAGCTATATTTTTAAATATTGTATGCATTATTTGATAAAGAGACTATGCAATGAAAATAATAAACTGCTTGAAAATATCCAGAATTGATGTCAGCATGGTCTGATTTGATATACAGTGTATTTTGGTGTGTTTGGTGCATTTTTGTGAAACAGAATTTTGGTTACATTACGAAAGTGGCTTATTGACATGTTCCCAAATATTGAATATGAAGTCATTTGAAGAGCCATCTTTTTCAGGGGATATTTCTTTCTATGATATGCTTCCACACTAATGTAAAAAGGAACGAAAAAGCTCACAAATAATTTGTTCACCTTTCCCATAACTCAACCTTCTCTTTTGAAACCCATTACACAATAATGACAAAGGAGAAACATGAACACAATCAGATTTGTTTTTCTTCAAAATACTCTTATTTACAAATAACCTCCGAATCGCGGAGCTCATATTAAAAAAAGAAAAATCGCAAAAAAAAAGTTGGACATAAAACAACAAAAAACAAGCATTTTTCCTTTCAAAAAACTTACAAAGCATTTAGCCTACATACAAACATACAGTCACATACACTAGTCTTATACACTGTACTCGCTAATATTCTACACAACAGGACATTAATCTACATTGTACAATATTTAAATAACATATTTAAAGAGAAATGCTTTTTTGTGACGACTCCTTTCCGAACCATATCAACAAAAGACTA